GTGGAAGCTCCAAAATCTCTCAAAAACCTATGGAAAAACAATGATTTTTGCCTCCGGGGGCCCTATTGGGAGTGCTCTTGGAGGCCTCTTGGGGCGTCTGGGGGCTATCTTGGGCGTCTTGGAGCGATCTTGTGGCATGTCGGACCCCTCGTGTACCATCTTGGGGGCCTCTTGGGGGCCTCTTGGCCTTTCTTGGGGCTCTCGGGGACGTCTCGGAGCCCTGTTGGTGCGCTCATGGAGCGCTCGGGGGGACCCGGCCGGGACCCGGCCGGGACCCGGCCGGGACCCGGCCGGGGACCGGCCGGGACCTGGTCGGGGTACTTTTCGTCCGGGGACCCCCAGGGGCCGCCCCGCGCGCGCGAACTAGAAAATTGTTAACCAGTTACCGGAGATCTTAGCACGCCTCTGGCCCGTTGGGCCGGCGAATTTTGGGGGAGAGTTCCGAGATTGCACGAGTGGTGGCGGTGAGGGGTTCATGTCCTCGGGGACTTCTGAATTCGAAGGAGTTGTAAATCGTGATTGCTTTGACGCAGAGTCAGGCCTACGGATGTAGGTGGGATGTAATTGCCGCGTGATGGCTGGGCCAGGAGCGCCAATTCGCTGGCGGATCGCCTCTTGACTGCATCTCCGCCTTCAAGGACATTGGGATGGAGAGGAGGATCATGGGGAGCATAGCGACAGATGCACAAGCAGTAAGACACTGGGAGAGGGAGGCGGAATGGAGGCCTCATCCATCGAACGGGTCGGACAAGGGAGGGTTACGAAAGGAGGTGCCACGGAAATCGCTGCATGCAGCTGGTTTCGGCCCCGCCGTTGGGCTCTTCCCCGATACATGGGCGTCTCTGGCACCGGGAGGCGCGAGGATAACCGTGAGGTGTTTCGCTACTACTCCCTTTGCTAACCACGACCCTCCTCTTCTACTGCTCGTGTTCCTCCCTCTCCTTTCATCCCCCAGGTAGGCTTCTCGTCAGGATCTCTTGTTCCTTCTGTGTGCAGGACGAATTCCATGACCGCCCAATTGCGCCCATCAACTCCCAGAACCCAACACTGTATTTCGGGTCAGTTAACGCGTACACAGGTGACTTGGAGGGACATGGGCACTCCATTATGTCTCGCGGGGCACCGCGGTGGATACGCAATACAATCCTGTGATACGACAACCATGCTATCCCTTGTGATTCAAATGTTCAACCATATGATGTACCACGTGATGCTGTATGTGTTCATTTCACGCTATGCTGCCCCAGCCCCGTTCGATGAAGAGGCACGAGATGCTGAGCTGTGTTGTGCTACCCTGGTTGGGATAGCACGAGGTTCATTCCTGCCCATTTTGCCCATGCGTTGGGACCTGGGTTCCACCGTGCTCGAGTACATTCAAATGTTGCGGTTCGAAGGACGGGGCTCGGCGTTGGCTGCAGGCGCAGCGAACGAGCAGGGTGGCGGGGGCGACTTCTGGTAAGCCGAAGTAGGAGACACTGGATAATCATAGATCGGCGCACAGATTCTGGGGGGGCGGGTGGACATCATTCGGCATTCGACGCAAGTGCGGAACGCCTGATTGAGGATTAGTGTGCTCCAGCGCTAGCGGGGTCAAGCGTGGCATTTCGAGCACGACGACCGCAGAAAGAGTCAGATCAAGTGGGTTCCCGCTTAGTCCCACTGAATCATCCCGCGACGTTCCACCATTGAATCATCCTGCGATGTACCTTACCCTCGCACGTGGCGATGATAAAGAGGGACACTCAAGTGGGAGGTCGAGACAGTGGCGACGGTTGCGGCAGGTGTCTGCCCCCAGAGAGGCGAGTTCTCATTTGGATGCACGTGGAGCGTCGCTTCGCCGGACCTCCCAGGAGGTCACGAACGTGGCGACGGTGGCGCATGTGGCAGCCCTCAGATAGGCGAGCTCTCATTCGGATGCGCGTAGGGCATCGCTCTGCTGGACCTCTCAGGAGGTCATGAAAGTGGCGACGATTGCCCAGAAGGCGGCCCCCAGACAGGCGAGATCTCAGTTGGATGCGTGCGGGGCATCGCTCCCCTGGACCTCACAGGAGGGCACGAAAGTGGCGACGGTTGCCCAGAAGGCGGCCCCCAGAGAGGAGCTCTTTTTTTGATGCGTTTGGGGCGTCGCTCCACTTGACCTCCTGGCGACAGTTGCGAAGGTGACAGACACCCAAGGCGAAGGCGACGAGAGGACAGTAGGCAGGATGCAGTAAGGCATGGGAAGACGGTAGGAGGAGGAGGGTGTGGTGGAGGAGGAGGATGAGAAGGATGAAGGCGAGCAAGCAGTAAGCAGTGCCCTATTCAAAACATGTTCCTCAACCACAGGAGGGCTTGGGATCAAATTCGGAGGCACGAGGAGCTCGATTATGGGGCGCATGCAGAGGCATTCTGCACCTGAGGACCACCGTACCCAACACATGCCTTCGGAGGTTGGTCGCGTTGTCGCGATGGCTTTGGCCCAGCCGGTCTTGAAGCGCACTGAGCGAATAAAGTCCGCGTGCACAACAGCCCAATGATCCTGTAAGTTTCTTAGGACGCCAGGCCACTGCCGCAGTTGATTTGGCTGCTTCTTCCCGGCAACTTGATGTTACAGCATGGAGTGTAACCGAATCGCGATTTCTGTATCGTAATGGTGCCGTGTACGGTCACGAAGACGCCAGATGTCGGCCATTCTTTGTGAGATGAGGCGGGAGCCCGGTTGGACACCAGAAAGATGAGGCAACCCTGGCAGAGAGCAAGTGCTTTCAGGCGGTAGGGGATCGTCTTTCTGTCCAACTCGGCGCCAATTTCGATCCGATCGATCTGGTTCGGTATCAATTATGTCAGGCTCTATCCGTTCCGATTCCGGTATTCCGATGGTCCGATGCGTCCTGATGCGTGGCGCTGTCGTGCATCTTGGTGCGGCTGGTCTGATTCGGCCCCGACGCCGTACCGCCGATGCGCCGCACATTTCGATTCGATCCGTTCTTCCGATTCGATGTTGGTTGATTCCGTTTTTGTGAGACCCAGACAGTTTGTAGTCCAGAGTTCCCTTCTCCTTCGATTGCCTTGAGGGAGGAGCAGAAGGATCGCGTCCAGCCTGAATCATGTCAAAGCTCCTGTGATTGGTGTCACATCTCGGTACCGACCTCAAGGACTACTTTGGTTTCTGAGGGCGCATCCTTACAGCTGCAATGGCCTTAGGCTTGTCAACCTGAAGGATAAGGATAGGCTCGACGATGGATATGATCGGTGGAGGAGGGGCCGAGGAGAAGCGACGGGACCGCCCCAGCTCGACGCGTTCGGGGCTGATCGGCGAGTGCGGCCCGGAATCGGGTGGTGGGTCGCACGATCTGTGCTGTTGGGACGCCGCGGTCGTTCAAGGCCTGAACGATCCGCGCGGTGCCAGGGACCTGCGCGCAGTCGTTGCGTCACAGGCCTGCCAGAAGGAGGACCCAATCCCTTCCAAGCCCCGCCCCCCCAGCCACTAAGTAGCAGACAGCACGGAGTCCTTCGTTTCCTGAGGGTACATCCGGAAGACGGCAATCGCCTGACTCGATGCTAATTGCGGCCCGCCCGGGTTCCCGGCCTCAGTTCCGGTGGAAGCTCACGCTCGACCAGGAGAAGCTGCTCCGGTCCCTCCCGCACAAGGCGAGGCCAGTGGCCTTGGGGGGGGGGCGGGGCGTTATTCCCGCTGACCGGTAACGGTACGTGTATGCAGCTGCCCACAGCAAGTCCCGCCACCGAGCCTGGGTTGTGGTTATGATTCCTATTGGATGTTCGTTGGGATCACGTGGGAGGCCTCGCGGGGGCCTCTTGAAGGCAGTTTTGACGCCTCTTGTGGGCCATGTTGGGGCCTCTTGGGGCCTCTTGTCTATAGATCCTTGGCAGCACCATACCGATCCCCTCCTCGCCAGAGCGGGTTGGAGAGTGGTGCTGGACCCAGGCGCGGCCGGCCGCCAGGAACACCGCGGGCGGGTCGATGGCGCGCAGCGCAGCGGACGGAGCTCACGGCCGCGGCGCGCGCTCTGCCTGGCGGGGGGGCCCGTCGAAGTGGTGACAGATCCCCGCTTCGTCAGCAATGGCGTCGCTGCGCTCCGCGGTGGCGCTTCCCCCAAGGACGGAACCCATACGGACATCTGGGACCTGATCCCCCATCACTGTCTCAGCGGCGCGCTGACTGCGCGATGGGTGAGGGCCGAGGCCGCCGAGCGGGGCGCGCCGCCCGAGGACCGCGCTGGCAATGCCGCGGCGGACCGTCTCGCAGGGGCGGCGGCCGATGCCTGGCTGCCCCCGCCAGCGCTGCGCCTGGAACGTGAGCAGCAGCTGGCCGCCCTCCAGGCGGTGCAGCGCGTGCCCGCCGAGGTGGAGACGGAGGCCCTGAAGGCGAAGCATGGTCACGGCCTGGGGGCCCGCGCGTTCGGCGGCGCTTAACGGCGGCAGTGCGGCGGCAACTCGGCCAGCGAGCGCGGCGCCTGGCCCTAGCGCGGCCGCCGCTGCGAGGGCGCTGCTCGCCGGTCGCGCTTGGCAGGGCACGTCGCTTCCCAGGGGCGGGCGTGGGTCGCCCGCAGGGCCTGCGGGTGCTGGGCCCAGGGATGACAACGCCTGGCGAGCCGCTCGTGCATCGGGTGGGATTTTCTGCTGCCCCTGCGCCGCGCGCGGGGGACAGCGAAGAGGCTTCCCGGGCTGCTGTGCGGCAGCGCCTGTCGGAACGCCCAGGGCCGCCTGACTAATTTGCAGCGCGGCGATTGCTTGGGGCTTGTCGCAGGATCCCACGCGCTGCCAGGGGCGCCTTGCTGCCGCTTCCCCCTCCTCCCCTCCCTCTCTCCCGGTCCCTTTCCCGCTTCCGGTCCCTCCCGCGCCGTGGCGCCCGTTCTCGCCACAGGGCTCCTTCACGGATCGTAGAATGCGTTTGTAGGTGGCGCTTGCTTTCTCTAAAACAAGTGTTGTTTTCGTATATTCGTTTGTGTCACTTCCTTCCCGCCATCCTCCGTTTCCTCCTCGCCGTCCCCCGTTTTCCTCCCCGTTGTTCCCCCCTGGTTCCTTGCCTTCCGCCGTCGCGTCTCCCAGGCCCCCACATTTCATCGAGGGTAGAAAACCCCAGATCTTTACAACATAGCGAAGCCGCACTCGGATCCCCATCTTGGCATCAGGGACGATAATAGGGGTGGTCTGGGCCTGTTCCTATTGCTTCTGGCCTTCCTGGTCTGGGTCCCCTCCGAAAAGGTTTCGGGGTCCTGTTCGTCGCTAAGCAAACATTCCAATTCCCGTCTCTGCATTCCCCCCTCCGTCGGACATGCCTCCCCGCCTCGCTCCAGTCAGCTCTGACCGAGGGTCGTTTCACTTCCCCCCCGTGTCCGCCCACTGCCGCTCCCCCTCCCGCTCCCCCTCCCGCTCCCCCCCCGCCCCTTTCCCTCGTATCGCGTTTCCGCTCGTTGCTCGTCTCTCAGCCGTGGCGGGCCGCGCCATTTCTCTCCCTCTCTCTCTCTTTCTGTCTCTCTCTCTCTCTCGCTGTCTCTTTCTGCCTGTCTGTCTGTCTGTCCGTCTGTCTGTCTCTCTGTCTGTCTGTCTGCGAGAAAGAGAGAGAGAGAGAGAGAGAAAGCGAGAACAAACAAAATGAGGTATGCGAGAGAGAACAAAGACAACGTATAAGTGACAGAGGGAAAGAGATGAGAGGGGTGAGATAGATGAGAGGTGATACATTTGAGAGGTATGGAAGGGATGCGCGGCAGCTGGAGAAAGAAAAGTGAGAGAAGGAGAGAAAAGGAATTGTTCTATATCTGTATACATATATACATTTATAGGGGGCACGCACAGAGTGTGTCAGATCAGTGGGGTGCGATATATGATAGAGGTATACTAGATGGGGCAAGTGCGACATGTGAGAAGGAGAGACGAGAAGGGATGAAACAGAGATGAGAGAAAGAGAGGAAGAGTAAGAGGAAGAGAGAGGCAGCGCCCGTCTCTCCAATTCTGGCTCACAACTTTCCGACTCGAGTTTCCATCTCTCCGACTCCGCCTCCCAATTTTCCAGTTACAGGCTCCCATCCTTCCGACTCCGGCTCCCATCTCTCCGACTCCAGCTCCCAAGTTTCCGACTCTGGCGCCCGTCTTTCCGACTCCGGCGTCCGTCTCTCCCATTTTCTTATTCCGACTGTAAATTTTCCGTATTCAGCGCCCGTCTCTCCCTTTCCAGCTCCCAAATTTCCAGCTCCGGCGCCCGTCTCTCCGACTCCAGCTCCCATTTTTCCGACTCCGATTGCCAATTTTCCGAATCCAGCGCCTGTCTTTCCGACTAATTTCCCGACTCCAGCTCCCATTTTTCCGACTTCGTTCCTGGGTTTGGTTTCTATCCGACTCTTGTTTCTATCCCTCCGACTCCGGCGCGCAATATGGAAACCCACCCCGTCTGCAACCATCGAGATGATGTCGATGAGCGGCCGGCCGGGTTCCTTCTTCCTCCCTCCCCTCTCGCTCTGTAGCAACACGATACTTTTGCTTCACACGCCAGTGTTTTCTGGACGCTTCGGCCCCACCCTGCAGCACCCTGGCGGTGCAAGATGCAGGCCGAGTTCCGAGTTTCGAGTTCAAAACTGTGGCGCCCCGGCGCACCCGCCGTTCCCTACACGGGACGCCATCTGGGCGACATCGGCGGCTCCGCTCTCCCTCTGTCTTTGTACATGAGGTGTTGTTTCTCTTGTGTTGGTCCTCTCTCTCTCTCTCTCTTTCTCCCTCTTTCCCTATCCCTCTGCCCATATCTCTCCATCCTGTACCTCTCTCTCACTCTCTCTCTCTCTCTTCCTCTGTCTGTAGCTGTCTGTCTGTCTGTCTGTCTGTCGGGCTCTGTCTCTTTGTTTTCTGTTTTTCTTTTTGTTGTTCTCTCTCTCTCTCTCTCTTTGTCTCTCTCAGAGCGTGGCCCTTGCTCAGATGAGCGGTATGGCGGCGCGGGCCCTTACTGAGTGACTCCTGTGGTCCAGCGCCGACCCCAGAAATCCAGCGCTGACATCTGACAGCTTCTGTGTGTGCAGTGATTTCTTCCTCTTATCGTTTGCCCAGTATCACTTTTGTGTGTAGCCGATGGCAGGAGCGTTTGAAAGAGGAGGTTGCATAGGGGAGAGTGTGCCAGGCGAGAAGTGTCCCTGGACCAAGGCGCCACCAGGATTTACAAGGAGGCCTTTGTGGCCTCCAGAGTATCCCTCACGAGGCTCAGAGGTCCCCAGGGGCTTAGAACTGGAGGGAAAAGCTGGCGGCCCCCTGGGCCAGGGAGCAGGGCGTTGGAGGAGGTGGAGGTGGAGGAGGTGGAGGAGGTGGAGGAGGAGCGCATAGTACACGCCTGCTACCCGACCAGCACCTTCGGCACGTCATCGGCAACTTCGACAGCTCCAGGACCCTGGAGGATGTCGTTTCCGAGGCTCCGGTGGGCGATCTGTGGAGGAGGCAGACGGGCAGGAAGTCGTGATAACGATGCTTTCCAATAATCCCAGGATTTCCCAGATTTCCCATTTATCCGCACGAGCTCCAGAAGGGAGGGCCGATAGATACTCTTGGAATTTCTGGAATGTATCCCGAGCCGCTTGAAGCAGGAAGCATGACATCATTCTCTTCCAGATGGAGGGATGCGGAAGCAGCAAATCCATCCATCCTGGGCATCGGATATCGATTCCGCGTGGACGGGAGAAAAAGCCCGCAGACGGGATGCTCAGGGGGTTTGAAGCCCTCACCAGTCGAAGAAGGCTGGGTGGTTCTCCAGGTCAGGCCAGAGGCCAGGGCCCTCCTCTCGAGGACCATGCCTGGCCAAGCCTACATCGTCCCTTCTCCATGGTCTGGTTGGGGCTTCCCCCCTCTTCAGACATGACTGAGCAGGGCGAGACACCAGAGACAGTCGAAGGACCTCCAGGGCCATGCAGACATGTATCTGAAACGGTACAGCTGGCACGATTGTCATCGACAGCCCCTCGTTCGGAGGGACCTTTCTGCTCCTCGCGCTTGGGCTCTCCACCCTGGAGGATTCTCCGCAGGGGGCATCTCCGTGGGGCCTTGGACCTTCGGCGAAGGGGCCTCAACTCATACGAATTACCCACTTCGCTCTCACAGCCGCACAGCACACTCCACATAGTGCACGAACGAAATACGCATCGTGCTACATCAAACGGGCTACAGACTGCGTGCAACAGAGTACATACTGCACGCCGCGTATTCACATACATTATATATGGTGCCTGACATCTGCTGTTGACAGCCCACTGCCTACCACCTGCACGCTTCGACTTTACCTACCTCATACTGATGCCTGCACCTGCTGTCTATGCCATGCAACCTTCGGCCCACTTGATACCCGACACATCAGACCACCTATTGCCACGTGCTCCCTACTGCCGAATACAAGTCATCTGCAGCATGCTGCCCTCGGCGCAGTACCTACCAGATAAGCGGACCACGGCTATCCGTTGCTGGTTTGCACGTCGATCTCGTTTGCTCCCTTGTCGCTCTCTTCTGGATGGGGGGCGGGATCCCTGGACTTCCGGAGATTTCCGAAGACTTCCGAAGGACAGATTAGTCTCAATCCGCGGCGCTAGAAGTCTCGACCCTGTCCCCAGGGCAGCTTTCGTCCCATATCCAGTTTTGCTGGTCCTGGGGCCCGAAAGCGGCATCCAGAGGCCGAAACGGACGAGCGAACGGCGGGGCAGCGTCAGACGCAGTCGTCCAAAGTCCAGGTGCAGTCAATGCACTGGAAGCAGGACCTCAGACCTGCGTCGAGGAATCCGCTGGTGGCCGAGGCTCGCCTTGGCCAGAGCATCTCCATCGCCCGGTCTTGCGATCCTCATGGTGTAGCACGATGACCCTAGCCCGATGCCTGTACGGTGGCGGTGAGTTGGGCCTGGCGGCCCTCACACGATGTCTTTCGCCCCTTCACTCACTCGAGTGCAATGAAAGGGCCTGCTGTGGTGAGCGTGTGTCAGCTTCTGCTCCCAGCGCCGCGAGTGCAGTCTCGACTTTACGCATCAGCACGATGAATGTAGGTTTGGGCTTCTGCATGCCTTCCCCCCCCCCGCCCCGAGGCCCAGGCGGGGGACGAGTTCGACGACGCGTCCTCCACGAGCGTGCTGCCGCAGGGGGTGGGCACCACTGTGATCGGCAGGTTCTCCCGCCTGGAGCTGATAGATCCCCTCGCGGACAGACGGGGAACGGGGGCTCCTGCTCGGATCCAGGCAACCGGCATGGGTATGGAAAGGCTTGTGGCGAAGACCGACGTTTGTTCCTGCCCATCCTGGACCGAACTCGCTGTCGGTGTCGCCGCGCATATGGTCCGTTCGAGAATGTCTTAGACAAAAAGGTCGCCTGCCCAACAGCCGCCGTTGTCGGTGTGGGGCAACATTTGACGTCGGGTATCGTACCCGTTTTCCGTATCCATTTCGGGCGAGCGAGTAGGAGGAAGGCCAGCCGTGGCCTTCGCTGGCGTTTTTTTTGTTCTGGTGTGGGCCTCGAGGAGGCCGCCCGTCGCCACGACAGGAATTGCCTTGAACAGCTGGCCAGGATGGACACCCGGAGAGCTCAGGAGACCCACTTCGAGCTGACCTGGGCCGGGGGGGGGGGAGGCCGCCGTGGTCTCAGCCGGCTCTGCTCCGCCCTGCCCGCCCGCGTGCTCGGGTGACGTCGGCAACCTCGCACGACTCCTGGGGGAGCATGGGGCTGCTGGCGCCGCTCATGAAGACCTCCACTCCTCCGGCCCTCCCCTCCTCCACTTCCTTCCTCCCTCCCCCTCCCCTATCCCTGCTCTCCTCCCTTCCTCACCTCCTCCCCGGCAAACGCATCGATATCCGCATCTATCCTCCCTCCGCGGCCGCCTCCCTTCCCCGAGCCCGTTGCCCAGGCGAGATCAGACATGGCGCAACCCGCTTTGGCCCCACTGCGCCCAGGCCCCTGGCGCAACGGCTCAGACAGGTCCGCGCGCCCAATGTGATGTTTCCTTGGCCTAAGCTTTGCCGAAGGGGCTGCTGGTTTGTTGCGATCGACCACAAGGATTCCTCTTCTCTCTCTTCGGCCAACATAATGTGCTACATGTCTCGTGCGCATGTCGCAGCACACACTGCAGTATCTCGAGGCTGAGGCCTCTCCCACCTGGTCTCACGAGGCCCGGACACTTGTCCGCATTGGTGGTTCGTTCGTTCGTTGCGTGTTTGTGAAGAGTCGGAGGGCGCTGGTTTCCAAGTGAGACGCAGGCTCCAGCCTTGCCTTCCTGTCTCTGGGTTCCCAGTCTTGTTCTGGGTTTCAGTTGCTAATATTTGCAGTGCCAAGCACCGCGGAGCAATGCCAAGCGTTGTCAAGAAATGCCAAGCGTAACGAAGACAACCAAACCAGTGTGAAGCACCGCTTCTTTGAAGCCCGCGGCGCCGTCGACATCGACATTGCGGGATTTCCAGTCGATCCGGATCGTACTGCGAGGGACCCTGGCCTTCGGTTTCTTTTCGGCTTCACGCAAAACCCAGTCCCTGCTGGCATTGATCTTCTTCTTCGCAGGTTTCAGAATGACACTCGCGCCGCTCTCTGTTTGAAAGCGCTTGCCCTTGCCTCCAACAGATCTTCAAAACAACCTGGGCTAAATTCTCACAGGCGAACTGTATATAGGAGGCTTTGAGCATAGTCTGCAGTGTCTAGCGGAAACCGCCTGAGACGCACCAGCAGTATTTGAAACAATCTTCGTCGCCACTTCTGTCACTTGCGTGACCTGTGCTCTCTCCGTGCCCGGGACTACCTTGTGCGTTCCGCTCTGGGGGTGGACACGACCTTGACGTCTCGCTCTGTATAATTTGATTCCAGACTCTGTCATTTCCGCTGACACTGTAAGATTGTTTCAACGACTTCTCGCGAATTGCTTCGTGTCGTTTCTGCCGAAAGACCGTCTTGGCAACATATTTTCAGTGTTGCCGGCTGTGCAAAGCCGAGCGCCGCTCTTCCTCAAGCGGTCACTTCCGGCACCAGCCCTATGGGAGGCAGTGCCACTGCATGCAGAGGCCCTCCGGTTGGCTTGCCGTCCCGGTTTTGAGCCGAGCGCCGCTGCAGTGGCTGCTCTTGGCGCCGGGGTCCCACGGGTGGAAGTGTTGGCGCATGCGATGGCCCTGCGGGTGGCAAGCGTGCGGGTGGCAGTCTCGGTGCACCGTCTTGTTTGTGCGGGATACAGAGAAATTTGACCGTATTCATATCGGGATGGCGAATCTCGCTACGAAGAGCGAGGTCAGGCAGATGATTAACGAGACCGAGAACACCCTTCGCCGCGAGATTTCCGAGGCCATCGATCCTGTGAAGACTGAGATGGCGGATGTTCGGAATCGTTTAGAAATTCTGGGGGGTCGCGCTGTTCCGTCTTCTCGGCTCTTTTCAGGTATTGTCCGATTGCCGTTGTTGGTGAGGCGGTTGATTTGGCCGAGCGCCTAAATGCGCACGAATGATCTAGGCCGTTCCGAAAATCTCGGTCTATTTGCTGAACAACCCGGCGACTCACGAAGATCGCCGCCGCGACATCGCGCAAGCGATGAGAGTTGGAAGGCTGTCTCGGAACGAGGGCTTCGTCGTCTCGAACGACGCGAAGGGTGCCGCGCACAACTCGCAGAGTGAGGGGCGGAAGAGCACGCGAGGAGACAGGAGAAGGAGGTAGCTCGGAAGTAAGCCACATAACTGCACGCGACTCCGTCCAGTTTAGAATGTCAGACCGCTGAACGGAACGCGAAACCAATCCGTCAGGACTCGGAGGCATGAGGCCTTAGTTGATTGTGGTCGTGTCGTTTGCATTATTTGTCCCACCGTTGGCGGGCCTTATCTCTGCGGACCCAATCGTTGTTGAGTTTTATGACCCCCTGTTAGGGTTCACTGTGCTGCATGTGTATTAGCTGGGCGAATACGTACGCGGGGCCCCCCTGCATACGTATTCCGTTCCTTCGGACGGGTCGTCGATATCTCTATTCGAGTCCGCCCGGCCTCGGCGGGTGCCGGGTTGTTTAAGCCGTGTCGTTTCTCACCTTTATTCACTGTGTGTCATCCAAACAGCAGGAACTCATGTGTTACTTCATGTTCTGCTTTATCCACTGCCTGTTCACTTTCATCATGTCAGTCTGCTTGTCTTCTTGCACCGCCGCCGGTATTCAGATGCGGAGAACGGGAGGTCCTCTCTCAGGAGTCGGCGCGGGGCATCTACATGAGAGAGTGGCTACTACGAGCAGTGGTTTTACTCGGCCACGATCGCCTGCTGCTGCCAGGTCGCTCCGCGCCAGCCTCTCCCCGTGCATCTCTGCTGCGCCGGTCTTGGCAGCATCGTGGGAATTGTTTCGTCGTGGCCTGGAGATTCCGCGCCTTTTCGCGTTGGGGGCGGGGCGTCATTTCGCCGGGGCGAGATGCATCCACTCGCAACTCAAACGCTGCGACACGATCTTGATCGCCGAGGCGCACGGGGCCTCCGGCCAGCACGAGGCTTCCGGGCCTCCTCCGGGCACTACGGCGTGGTGGTCTGCTGGGCCCGCGACGAGGCACGCTGGCGTCGGCTTCGTCGCGAAGACGGTCTCCTGCAGGGATTCCAGCGCGTCCGGTGGCGGGTCGCATGGCCTGGCTGGGCTTGTAAATTAGCCCTTCGAGGGCGCGGTTGGGCCGTGGACGTGTTTGACGTGTTTGTCAGTTACTTCCATTCTGGTGCGGACATGCAAGGGGCGGGCGGTATTGTGGTCACGCCTCGACCTGCACATCGCCCGCCCTGCGAGTGCGCTTGCAATTGTGGGCGGCGGCTTCGAGAAGGTGCTGGGCGAGGTGGGCCGCCGATCGCGTTCCACGGCTGCTGTTTCGGGTCGCTGGGCTCGCGGCGAAGAGTGGCATTTCGATTTCGCATCCGGTTTTAATTTCAAATTCCACTGGCTGGGATGACAACCTTCGCTTCGGGCTCAGCCCGGTCTAGGCCTGATTGCGCGTTCTGCAACCAGCGCGTCGCGGAGCAGTTGGACAGGGTCCGGAATGGGTTCCACATGTATATGATCTCCGCGCTGCGTCGGTTCACCGACGTCTTTCGCATCGTCTTCTCGAGCACGAGCGCCTCATGCTCATGGGCGGTGCTGATGCGCCGCGAAGATTTCGGCAGGCTGGCGCTGCTGCGGCACCATCATTTTTCGAGAGAGTCCATGGGCAACAGGTCTTCGCAAGATCCAGCTGCCTACTCGAGCCACGAGGGTCGCAGGCTCAGCTCGATCGCGGCCCTGGGCAATCTCTCGAGGCGCGAGCCCGAGAGGGCCGTTTGGGGGACGCGACGCGTTCGTATTCTCAGGGCGCCCGAGACCAGTTCCATGGGGGCCCTCACTACGCGCGCGCCTTGCTACCCGGCGCTCCTGGAGTTTTCGGGCCAACCGCGCGTTGCCGCCTGCTGCGCGACCCGTTTCTTGCTGCCGATCCGCGACCGCGCAGTGGAATAAGCCCGCGCACATGCCTTGGGCTAGCTGGGGAAAGCAGCGGGGGCCTCAGGGGAAGGTGGGGACTCGCCGCGAGGAGGCGCAAGAAAAACGCGACGGATATGCTCCTCCGACTTCTGCGAGGGAAGGGGCGCGGCATTCGCGATACCTGCGACCGCCGAGTTGGGGGGGCGAGGGGGGCGGGCGCGTTCGAAGGCAGCGGCGTCGACGTTGAGCTGCTGCGGCAGGGGGTGGGCGACGGCGCGGCCCACGGGGAAGAGCAGAGCTTCGGGCGTGAAGCTGTTCATCGGATCCGGTTCTGCAGGCGCCGCCTCCACGTCGCCGTGCCTCCGCAATCTTTGCTTCGGGTTCAGGCTGCGCCCCTCATGCGGCCTGTCGGTGCCCGGGGGGCAATGCGGCGGACGGACATTGCGGCGGACGTCCTGTGCGAAGGCTTTAAATTTGATCTGCAGCGACGACGCCCCCGCCAACTTCCGAGCCGTTTACCTTGACTTCAGTTCCAGCGCCTTCGTTTCGCCCCCGGAGAAGGCCGCCAGCGTCGATCGCGACGCGGAGAAGACGCCCCTGGCCCGGACAATTGCCCTTTGGCAGTTGCCCGCCGTTGGATGTTGGAGTCGGCGCGAGCCGCTCACCCATGCCGGTTTACGCGCACGCGAGCTTTTGGATTGTGTCTGACTCTAGTCTACTCCGCTTCCGCTGTTCCTCCTTCCTCGGCTTCCTCCTCATTATGGCACCGCGCCGTTTGGCTACGCAAGCCCTGGTTTCGCTTGCGGGCTCGCGTATTGCAAGTTGATTTTTGCGTGGCTCCGGGTTCGCTTGGCGCATTTCAGTGCCACCATTGCTCGTCGCATTGGGGTGCGCTTGATTTTAGGGAAGCAGAAATACGTGTTTGTCCTTGCGCGTTTAGTGCACTGTAGAAACGTTTGGAGCCCATTGTAATTGCGCCAATTCGTTCTTCGGCCGCCCGTAAGGATCCGCGAGTCTTGCACTGGCAAGTGACCAGTGCAGCGCCCGCTTTAAATGTTGGGCCTGCCGAGGCGGGGGAAGCCACGGCAATTCGAGTAGTGGTTGCGCCGAGAGTGGGCGAGCTCATGGTAGGGGATGACATTGGAAAAAACATCGAAGAAGTGCGAGATCGCAGGGAAGGGAAGGCTCTGGATGCGAGGCGGGTGGCGGGCGTAGCGCAGGCTCTTTAGCGAGAGACCGACCTCCTTGTATCTGCCCTCGAGGACCAGGACTTGATAATCCGCGCGTGCATCTCTAATGTCTGATTCCCCAGCCAAGTTACGGAACACGTTGATCCCAGCATGGCGTTATCTTCCGAATCCAGGGTTCACACCGCCTCTTTCTCGGCAGCCGCTCAGAGGTCAGACCTCTTCCCCAGAGTCAGTCTTCCATGCCCGCTGGAGTCACACGACTTCCGCATATGCTCGTGCGCTTCGTAGCCGCCGGCAGGGCTCGGCCACTCATAGTTTTCTGCCAGCTGCTCCCTGCCCCATCCTCAGGGCCGCGCGGGTACCTGCGTTTGGTGGTCCTCACGTTTGGGTGGCGTCAGTGGTGGTGTCTTCTGAGAGAGCAGGGGCCTTCGTAGAACTGCCCAGACGCTTTTAAGAAGCCTTCCTGTAGGCCTCCTGGCCCTTCTGAGAAAGCCCATGCCCTTTCGGAAGCCCGCCTTCCGTCTTCTTGGAAGGCCGCCCCTCGCACGCCACCCCCCCTTGCTCGGTTGCAAGTCTGGGAGGTTGAATTCAGCATCGGTGCTGGTAAATATGGGGTCGACACCCCTCGCGATGTGGGATCTGGCCTAATCCTGCGTCATCCAGCCCAATCCGGCATAGTCTGGCTGAGGATGCTCCCGCATGTGGCCGTATTTTCCCAATCGGTGCTCTCACAATCGGGTATACTAGCTTCCACTTGTTCTCACGGATACCTCCCAGGAGTTGTTTCCTGACCTCTGTTCGCGCCGCCATGCAGTGGTCAAGCCGCCTGGCCCCAGGACGCAGCGGTCTTCGGGGACGCCAACCTCACGTTCTCGTTGCGGTTGGCCAGGCACCGGACCGGGCTGGGGCACGTGGGCAGGGTCATCGCGACGACCTTCGAGGCCTGTTGCTGCCGCCAGCTGCTGCCATCCCTCAGGCCAGGTTCACTGCGGTGGTCGCCACGAGGGGAAGGGGTCCCCCTCTGAGGGAAAGCGGCTTGGATCTTCACAGCCATCCTGTGGCGTTGGCTCCTCCTTCTGCAGAACGCTGGCGTGCCAAAGGGCGGCGGCCCTGGAGGCGTCCAGGCCGAGTGTGCGGTGTGGGAGTGGCCTCCGCATGCGGGATCGGGCCCTTGGCGAGGCGCACCGGGGGGCCGCATGCTCGCTCTGCGGCCAAGGCTCTGACCTTCTCGAGGCGCGCGCCGGCGGGTGCCTTCTGGAAGGCTCGGGCCAATCTTCGGCACGAGACTCTTCTCGCAATTTTGCTGCCGATTGGTTTTTGAGGTTTCAAGAAGGTTCCGATATGGCTTCAGCGAGCCAAGCATAGGGCCAACACGGCCCCGCAAACACCCAAGATCGCCCCAGGAACGACCCATTTGGGCCCCAAGGCACCGTTCTTCAGCTTCCGAGGGGGGAGTGTACTTGGTCCCCCGTCCCTCTCTGAATGACGGCCTCCCAGATGCCCCGAAGAAACCCTTCGAGGCCACTACGAGGGCCCCAAGACAACCCACGAGGGCCGCAAGAGGGCCCAACGAGGGCTCACGAGTTTTCGACTTGGCTTCAAGAGGGCTTAGCCGCAAAACGCGTCAAGAATGATCCCGCGGTGTGACTGCATTCTGTTACACATATATGGTCCGTGCAACTCGCTTTTTGATTGGATTTGGATGAGCTGGTGGGGATGCGCGAAGCGTGAAGGCGTGGTCACCCCATAAACATGTATTATCATTCGGAAGCGCTCCCAAACAAGTGCTCAGCACTACATGGACGATATTTCAATAGTGGTCGAAATTGTAAACTGGAGCATGGCCACGGAGACAACGCAGCCATCCGCGCGTTTGCAAATATGCCATGGTTTCAAGTCGCGCGGCGCAAAAGCTAGATCATATTGCTCAAGACTTGCTCTGTTTCACTTGACGCTTCTGTTCAAATTTCCGGCTTGGCAGATGCAATTTGGAACTACGGGCGGAGGTCTAGACCTTCAGACCCGGAAGTCGACCCAAACGTTGGAGACCCATGGCCCCACTTTCGATAATGACGTCTGGCTGCTGGACAGGTGTCTGAAACTTTGCGCGCCTATGGTTGGTGCGATCGACATGGGGAATGGAATAATGGGGACGAACGGCTCACAGCGGTTTCTGTTTATCTTGAAGAAGTATCGCTGTCGGTGCCGCCGTGGACGCCGCTTATTTGGGTCAAAAGGTGCCTGTCCGACAACGACCGCTGTCGATTTTGGACAACAATCGTTGTTGCACCGTCCCTTCTTGTCCCGTGTCCTGTCATGCGTCCATGTCCATATCATTGTGATACGTTCCACATCACAGATTCGAGGAAAACTTCCAGAGCTTACCACCATCGAGCATGGATGACCCCCCACCATGTATCCCCGAGTTGGGCCCCGCTGAGTAGGGGAATGGGGCCGCCAAACCTCCTGCCAAGATTCTGCACTTCTTGCCCGCCCTTGCCTCCGTGACGGTTCGTGCAGGATTTGCCGACGTTGCGGGAGCGTTACAAGGAGATCGACACGACGATCGAGAAGCTGGAGGACCGGGCACCATCGTTCGGGAGACGGCAACGGATGGCGGATAAGCAAAAGGGAATGCAGGACGGTGGTTTTTCCAGCACCTTCTGGACGCGTGATGGCAGCTCGACAGGTCCTTTGAGAACCACAACCCGCGATCGCCCCCCCGTTTCGTTGCTGGACTGGCCGCGTCGTCTTCGAACCAGGTCCGACAGATATGACCCCCACCCGTCTGTCTCCACAGTAAGTCTTCCGCGTGGGTGGTCGGGGGTACACCCGATGCGGAGATGGTGGAGGGGGGGCAGTGGGCTCGGAAAAAGGGGGGGGGGACTGGGAAGGGGTGAGGGGTACGTGATCTGCTTTCTGGAGTCGGTTTCGGTGCCGTAGCCGGGCGCGTGTCCTTGATGTGTAGCCGCTTCCCGGCGCCCTGAGGCGGCTTGAAGACCCCGCGTATGCGAGCGTATCCCCCCCCTTTTCGTATCCCCCCTGCCGTACATCCCAGCACATCACCGCGACCATGACCACTGCTGGACAGTTCCATTGCCACCGACCGCGACCGATTGGGCACGAGCACTGCGGGCCGCTGCTCCTGCGGCCAGGCCCGAAATCGGCAGACTGGCTCTGCAACGCCACGGGCGCCCGTGGGTCCCATTGCGGCACGCCCCTCACGGGGATCGTGGCCCCATAGGGAGCTCCACCGAAGGCCTCAGTCCCGTCGCCCGAGAGGGAGCTCCTCCGAACGCCCCGATGGCAGGGTCCGCATGCGTCCCCCCGCTCATTTCGGCACACCCCTCACGGGGATCGTGGCCCCATCGGGAGCTCTACCGAAGGCCCCAGTGGCAGGGTCCTCATGCGTCCTCCCGCCCATTTCGGCGCACCTCTGACGAGGATCGTCCCCATAGGGAGCTCCACCGAACGCCCCAATTGCAGGGTCCGCATGCGTCCCCCCGCTCATTTCGGCACACCCCTGGTTGGGCCTTTCGCCAGGATAGTGTTTGGCCAAACGTTGGACCACAGTTGGAAAGTTATTGGCGTGTGTGTGTGTGTGTGTGTGTGTGTGTGTGTATGTGTGTGTGTGTGTGTGTGGCTTTGCAGCCGTTGCGGAAACGGTTTGGGGGCACATCGGGATTTCGTCCGATGTGTGGGCTTCTTGGTGCCATTATGTGTGTGGTGGGAGCTTCTCACAGGGGTTGTCTTGGCGGCTTCTGGGCCGCTTTTACGACATACACATCTACATGCGCAAACGCGCGTCCTACCAGAAAGGCCCCACCAGTTTCGTCTCGAACGGACCCGTGCACTACTCTCTGGTCGGCACATCTAGGAAGGCCCGAATGCGGTCATTGCTGGCATTTGTTTGTGACTGAGGGTAGAGATGAAAGGGAGAGTGCGCAGCCATGAGTGGGCGCCAGTGGATGACAGCGTCAGAGGGAACAACAGAGCACGAGCTGGCACGAGTGAGTACGAGCGTGAGAGTGCTTGCTAAGGCCACCTTGCACAAGCTTTGTGCAGGAGGCTCATGCATGTCTTTGGTAGAGCAGCTACGCTGGGTGAAGTGGCCAGCTCAGGATGAATTCCGATCCGATGGGATCCAATTGGACGCCGATTTCACTTGGTCCGATTCGTTTTGATTCAGATATACCGACGATCCCATGCGGCCCGATGTTCCCATGACGACGCCGATGCTGTTAGATTCTGATTCCGCGCCGATGTGGCTCGATTCCACGCATGTTCCGATACGACTCGATGTATCGATTCTATGCTGACCGCTCCTGCCTGCCCCGCTGAGGCTATGTACTCGGAGGTGTACCATGGTGTGGACTGTACCCGCATCGCCATGGACACTCGCCTCAAGGACGAGCTGAGTGCTGCTTCTGCGAATTGGTGCTCGCTGAGTTTCGGTGTGCGAGTGCCGAGGGGGCGCCAGGCGAGCATGAGGCGCGAGTGACCGGCAGGGCGTCAGACAGGGTCGGAATCTCTCTGCGCGCGCACAGGCGGCCTCGGCAGTTCCACGCTTGCGCCTGCAGCCAACGGCAGGCGCACCCTTCCATTCAACCTGTATTCAGCACCAGAGTGCCAGAGATTGCGAGAGATCTGGCTGGCAGGGGCCTAGGCCTCGTGTAGAGGGAGGACCAGAAGATCGTCAGCCCAGCGCCAGATTCGCGCGATGGCAGCCTTGGAAGAGCATCAGTGTTCTAACAAGAAGATGCGGCATGAACAAGACTTTCGGAGGTTCGGCTGGATTTCATGGATCAGCGATGCCAACCCCGTGTTTGGTTGTCGGTGATCATTTAGAGTCCCCCTTGTGCCCCTTTCTGTGTTGCCTCACTTGAAGCCCATCCCGGGTCTCGCATTCTTCTTGCTCAGAGGTGTGGAGCTGCCTCAGGCGAAACGCGCCGGAACACTTCGCGCGCGGCATCACGGAGCGCAGAGTTGCGAGGATGTCTCAGGCGGAACGCGCCGTTCCAACTCGCGCGGCAGCTCGGAGCCCAGAGTCGCGAGGGTGTCTTGGAACAGGGGATGGTCATGAGCCTCAGACTGTTTTGTGGCCCCCCCGGGCTAGACAACAGCAACCGCAAGTGCCTTTTCGTCTCTGACCGTGCCCCCCTCGGGGGGTCTCTATTCCTTCTCTGCTACATCTGATTGGCGCAGCCCTTAGACATAATAAAACCAATCGTGGAAGAGAGGAGAGAACCAGGAGGACAGGAATGGCGGAAGGGAGGGAGGAGGGAGGAAGGAAGGGGCAAGGGGAAGGGAGGATGATGGATGACGAGAGAGACTGGCAGGGAAGGGGAGTGGAGAGAGAAGCAGCAAAACACGAAACTGACCCAGGCGGGCGGGTCGGGCGGGCGGGTCCCGCCGTCTGTGCCCCGACGGGCGCACGTCCCGAGCGAGAGCGCCAAGCTTGGGTAAGTTGCAAGCAAGTCTCGAGCGAGAGCGCGATACCTTGGTAAATCGCAAGGGCCGTTGTGAGTGAATCGTCAGGAGGTCCTGGCCCGGAGCATGATGGCTGAGTGTCGAGGGCGCGGCGCTTGAATAAATTTGGAGGACAACCCTCGCGAGAGATCTATTCTCTAACAACTTGTGATGAGATTTCAGGCGTGAGGTGTGGTTGCATGTTTTCGGGGGCCAAAGGCGTAATTGTGACGAGGGACGAGCACAGGGATACGCACTTCAATTGAATTATAGCCAGAGTGCAGCACCCCCAGACAGCATTGTTCGAACGCATGACGAGTTCCAACCGCGTTTGCACGTCTCCCCCGTGCTGGAGAACACGGGGTTTACGCCATTGTGGGGGGTTGTACCAGGTTGTGCGCCACATCTTTTGTCATGCGCCCACGGGAGGTCCGCGGACCCACGTCTCGAAACAGAACTGTGACGTCGGATGATTTTATGATCGTTTTCTGATTCATTGTTTTGCCGATCGGCGCGGGCCCTCGCACCCCCTCCCCCCCCTCCCGCCATGGAGGAGATCTTGGCTGTCTTTGGCGACTGTTTCAAGCAGGTGGGGTCTCCCCCATAGGACGCACAGTTGCAAACAGTCGCATTTTGCGCAGAGGTCCGTAGCCAGACATCCCCTACCCTCCCCCCCCTTCCGCACATTGTCGAAACGCCGAATAAGAAAGTGTTCACTTAGGAAGGTCGGACGGCGGGGCGCGCATGGCGGATGCTGAGGCGGCAGAGATGACAGAGGCGGCGACGTGGGGACGGAGGCAGAGCGCATCAGGCGGGAGGCGAGAGGAGGGAGGAAGAGGCATGTGGGAGGATGAGGCAATGAGCTGGACTACTCCGCGCGCGGCATCTCGGAGTTCAGAGTTGCGAGGATGTCCCGGGCGAAACGGGCGGGACCTCCTCGCGCTCGGAGGTTTGTGTTGCGATGATGTGTCAGGCGGCGCCCAGGTTCCTCCCAGAGCACAGCTCGACAACAGAAGTGTAGCCAAAATGGCTCCTCCGGGTCTGACCCCTCCTTCCTCCTCTATGTTGAAGTTCAGAGTTTCGAGGATGCTTCAAGCGAAACGGGCTGGGGAGCACCTCGCGCGCAGCATCTCAGAGCTTAGACTCGCGAGGATGTCTCTAGCGAACCAGGCGGAACCACTTCGCGCGGGGCATCTTGCAGCGATGTCTCAAGAGAGACGGGCTGGAGCACCTCGCGCGCGGCATGTCGGAGCTTGGACTCGCGAGGAGGTCTCAAGCGAAACATGCCGAACCACCTCGCGCGCGGCATCTCGGAGCTCAGAGTTGCGAGGATGTCTCAGTCGAAATGGGCCAGACTACCTCTGGCGCGGCATCTCGGAGCCTAGAGTTGCAAGGATGTCTCAGACGAAACGGGCTGGACCACCTGGCGCGTGGCATCTCGGAGCTCAGAGTTGCAAGGATGTCTCAGGCTAATCGCGCTGGGCCACCTCGCGCGCGGCATTTGGGAGCCCAGGGTTGTGAGGATGTCTCGGCGAAGCATGCCAGATCACCTCTGGCGCGGTAGCTCGGGGCCCAGAGTTGCGAGGATGTCTCAGCTGGAACGGGCTGGACCACCTCGCGCGCGGCATCTCGGAGCTCAGGGTTGTGAGGCTGTCTCGAGAGAAATTGGCCGAACTACCTCTCGCGCGATATCTCGGCGCCCAGGGTTGTCAGGATGCCTCAAGCGAATAGACCACCTTTTTTCGGCGCTCGGAGCTCAATGACGGCAGGACGTCTCATGCGAAACAGGCTGGACCACCTCTCGCGCGGCATCTCTTGGCCCATAGTTGCGAGGATGTCTCAGACGAAACGCGCTTGACCACCTCTCGCACGGCATCTCGGAACTCAGGGGTGCGAGAATGTTTCAGGCGAAATGGACCAGACCATCTCTCGTGCAGCATCTCCGAGCTAATAAATGTGAGGATCTCTGAGGCGAAACGCACTTGATCAGCTTTCGCGCGGCATCTACGAGCCCAGAGTTGCAAGGATGTCTCAAGCGAAACGGGCTGGAGCACCTCTTGCGCGGCATCTCGAAGCTCAGAGTTGCGAGGATGTCTCAGGCGAAACGCGCCGGACCACCTCTCGCGCGGCATCTCGGAGCCAAGAGCTGTGAGATGTCTCATGCGAAACGCGTTGGACCACCTCTCGCGCGGCAGCGCGGAGACCAGAGTTGCGTGGGAGTCTCAGACGAAACGGGCCAGATCACCTCTCGCGCGGCATCTCGCAGCTCAGAATTGTGGGGATGTCGCAGGCGAAACGCGCTGGACACCCTCGCGCGCGGCATCTCGGAGCTCAGAGGTGTGGAGCTGCCTCAGGCGAAACGCGCCGGAACACTTCGCGCGCGGCATCACGGAGCGCAGAGTTGCGAGGATGTCTCAGGCGGAACGCGCCGTTCCAACTCGCGCGGCAGCTCGGAGCCCAGAGTCGCGAGGGTGTCTCAAGCGAAACAGGCCAGATCACCTCTCGCAGCTCGGAGCTCAGAGGTGTGAGGATGTCTCAGGCGAAACTCGCCAGACCACTTCTGGCGCGGCAGCTGGCAGCGCAGAAGTGCGAGGTTGTCTCAGGCGAAATGCGCCAGACCACCTCTCCCGCGAAAGCTCAGATCCCAGAACATGAGGATGTCTCAGGCGAAACGCGCCGGACCACCTCGCTCGCGGCGTCTCGGAGCTCAGAATTGCGAGGATGTTTCTGGCGAAATGCCCAATCCCAGCCAACTCCGAAGCGAGAGTTGTGAGGATGTCTCAGGCGAAACGGGCCGGACCATAAGACTTTCTTGAGAATGTCTTTGCGCGCCCGTCTCTCGGTGGGAACCTAGTCTCTGTCACAACGCGCCCCGTTCAGCAGTCTGTTTGGACGCATAGATCTTCCGACTTTGTTTCGGTTCTCCTTCATGCTCCCCTTTCTTCCTCGGCTTAGTTCCTGTGCTTTGCTTGGTCTGGCGCATCCCGTCCCCACGGAGGGCATCTTGTTGGAAACGTTTTGTCTGCAGCGATGTCAATGCACGCGTAACGGGTTTCGCTCGTAGAGACATGTTCTAATGTATTGTCCGCGTTTTTCAAGTTGGCATGTGTGCCAGTTGTCAAGTTAAAACGCTCTCTCTTCCGCCTGAGCAACCAAACACCAAAATTCGTATTCTTTAGAAGGCAATTTTCAACGACAGCAACGACGACGACGACAACAGCAACAATCAGTTTACCGTCACGCGCCGTGCTTCAACATGCCACATACACCCGTCATGATACCCCCTCTTCTTAGGGTTGTGGGCGACGATCAATTGAGAGGGAACATGCTGGCACATATTTTCCAGATGTCTAAGAGAATGCTTCAACCATGCTTCTTTCTGTTGTTTTCAGTAAGCACATGTTTTGAACACGTGTCGAACCTTTTTCAAACTTAATAAACACATGTTTAATTTAATGATCGGATTGTTAGGGTGTCCATTGTCATGGCATCCACAGTCTTAGGGGTGCACAAACTGAAAAGGGGGGGCGATACAGTCGGGGCGCTGAAAAAGGAACCCATTTCCTTTGGGAGGGGCTCAGTTTTCCTTAGTTGTTTTAAATGTTGACTTAGGTTAGCCTTAGGTATTCGATGGGACATCGAATTGAACCTTATGTAAGAAAAGGGGCCTCGTTCCTCATTTCGGGTTCCTTAGGTCAACGCCCCGATTGTATTCCCACACCCAGATCTCCCGCCCAAGGAGGTCGAGCCAACATCTTCCCCATACGTAAAGCACAAAGCGTTCGAGCCCCAGGAGACAGGGCATGCATAGGAGCGTGCGTAAAGCGCCAAGGGTTCGAGCCCCGGGGGGGGGGCGGCCGGCGAAGCCTATCGGGGCGAAGCCTAAGAGGGCGATGCTCACGGGGGGCCGAGAGGCACTCCCCGAACACATGCTTCCTGGGGCTTACTGGGGCCTCCCGGGGCCTCCCGGGGGTGGGGTGGGGTGGGGGGGGGGCAAAAAAGCGCTCCCCGAACACATCATTATCCCGATACGGAACATCGTTTCCTGGGGTGTCCTGTAGCCTCCTGGGGGTTGGAAGCCCGAAGCATGGCTCCCGAGCACACTTCACAATCCTGACGAGTGCCTCCAGGGGCCTCCTAGGAGCGCAGAGGCCAGAACGCGCTCCGCGAACACACATCGGGAACCATCATCTGCTTTCCGGGGCCTCATGGGGCGGGAGCGCCGAACACTTGTCCCCCAACGAATTACCTGCAGCGTCCTGGGGCCTCCTGGGGCCTCCTGGGGCCTCTGCAAATAGCGGCAATCATGCTCTGACAGATTCGCCGTGGGCGAACATCAGGTCGCACACAAGACCGAGCTCCTTGGGTCAGCCACCTTTGATATCACAACCTACTCGATAGGATATGGAGAGCTCCCTGGGCGCCGTGTATTACAACTTCCCACATTCTGGGGCGATCCAGGTCAGGAGCTTGGCAGTCTGATAAGGCATGGCATGAGCATGAGGAGGCACAGCAAATAATAGCCGCGTTTGAGTGATGGTCGTATGGCAAATCCGTGCCAGCTGTCACAATAGTTGTCCACATGGTGTGCTTGATCGGTTGATGAGCAATGATCTGGCACCTGAGCAAGTGCGCGCGAGTCTTTTGATTGGACGGGGGAACCTTCAGAGCGACGTGCCAAAGCATTGTGCGAACGACGAGTGACCAGCGCATGTCGAGGTCATGGAGGGGGCGTTAAAGGTCGAACGGGCCACAAGAGAGGCGCCCGTTGATTATCGCGTGGATGGTGGAGTGCATCGGTGGAATGCATCGGGAACGCCTCGGTGAGGAGAAGGGGCTGCCTGCAGTTGCCCATCCCTATTCGTTCGTGCCAAAAAGAAACTGGCGGATAGTTGATGAATAGTCGCGTGGCGTGTCATATGTTGCCAGTACGATCTCAGCCAGGTTCCATCAGACGATGGTTCAATCGTTTGGTCAGTGCGAGTATTGTGTCGTGCGTGTTACATGTTGGGCGAAAGTCTGGTGACACACGTTGTCTTTCCCAGAACTTGAGGGTGAGGATGTGGGAGGACGAGCGGGGTAGCGAGTGGGAAAATGATAGATGGGAAGAGCACGAGCTTTAGCCAAGGCATGCATGTGGGAATCTGATTCCCCTGCGCGGGTGTGGGAAAAGTGTGCAGAGGGCGTGCCAGGGGTTCTTCGACGGGCACCCCTGTGTGAATTGGAGGCGCCCGCACCTCTCTGACTTTCACAGCACCGCCACGCGATTGTGAGCATGCCCTTGCCGGGAGCTGTCCACGGTATGCCTAAGTCGCTAATTGACCAATCCGAGCCGTTCCCCCAAGGGACCCCTCCTCACCTCGCATCGGCAATGTTCGATACACTCGGTCGCTGCCCCATCCCACACATGTGCACGCCAGTGTGTGTTTGTCATCTCTAGTGCTGTGCGCTTCCTTTGGCCCTCCTGCCCCCCGTTCTATCAGCTGTGCGGCAGGCACGAGAATCTGATGCGACTGTTCTTCCGAGGGCTCCGCACCTACGTGAAGCCTGGCGGCTTTGTGAAGGTTGCGTCCAACATGAGTGCCGTCGGCGTGCGGTGCCCAATGATCTCTTCCAATTCGGTGGGGTTTCGCTGTTGCCGCCGTCGTGCTCCATGCGAGCCCGCGCCAGTGCCAGAGTTTGCTGGCCCCTTCCTTTTCGGAGAAGAAGCCACGTCATAGACATAGACTTTTGGATGCCGTTGCAGATTTCTTGGATCCGCGCGCAGCGCCTCCAGCGCTCCCCCTGGCGCGCTCGCTCCGCTCCAGTGAGGGTGGGGGGGGGGTCCAGCGCCAGTTAAACAAATGCGTGCGGACCTCCTAACGTTTAGGTTTGCATAGTTTTTGTCGCGCTATGCTCTGCCCTTTCAGGCAGACCTGTGCTGCAGAGGCTGCTGCAGTCTGATTTGATATGTTGCCGCGGTGGACGCTTTCCGGGGTGTCTCGGGAGACACGGTCCTTGGGAGAAGGAGGATGAGGAGGAGCACTGTGGGGACAGTGGGGACAGTGTTAGGCAGGCGTATCCAAGAGGGGGGGAGGGTAGGGAGGGTGAGGCATCTAGCATTTCATTTGAGACTTGGGGACAGGACAGGACAGGACATGACAGGATGCCGAGTACGTGCCGTGCGGCGCGACAGCGTGCCTTCAGGGCTCAGGAGAAGTTGATCGACCCATCTTGTCAGTGGCCAATCTTGACAAGATCCCAGTTTAGGACTGCGTGCCCATCGCTCGCCATTCATCTTCTCCAATGTGTCACTCCAGTGTTGCATCCTGGAGCAACGCTCCTTTGCCCAGCTGAGTAAGTTGATCTTATCCATTAGTTGTCATGCCTCAATCGTGACGCGTTGCACCCAGTTCACCTGCGTTAGCGTCTTGGGGGCATGACTACCAACACCTTGCCCTGGAGGGAATAGGCAAGAGGCTCACAAGGCCTTAAGCTGGGAAGTGGGTAATGTTTTTGATGGCAAAGGTTCGGGGACGGGAGCAGGCTCTTCAGGCAACGATCTGTAGGGGCCGAGGTGGAGAGACACGTCGTGTCCAGTTGCGTGCTGCAAATCCACCATCGTGCTGTGTGGCGACCCTTCCATCGCCGCCGGAAAGGCCTCATGAGTGACACCTCGCGTTTCGATGTACTGAGGAGCTCTCTCGGGGCTTATCTGGGCCGTCACGGGCTCCCGTGGGGCCCTCGTGGGTCGTCTTGGAGGCCGTTTCGGGGCTGTCGTGGGTCCGTCCGTTTTGGAGCCGTCGTTGGCCATCTCGGTGCCCTCTTCGGCCGATTTGGTCCGTCAAGGAGCCCGCCGATCTTCTACCTAAGAGCGAGGACTGCGAGAAGCATTGAAGTCAGCGATTCTAACACCTCGAGAGCCTCCTGCAGAGCGTCTTTTGGGTCTCTGGGGGCTTTTCGTACGCATCTGGTAGCTTCTTGGTGCCTCTTGAGGCAATGTTCGGCCGTCTTTCTGGTTGCCTTGGTGACTGGTTGATTGATTGAGCCACATGCGGGGACGCAGTCAGGCTAGGGCGCAAGCAATTCACACATGCACTGTAACAACAGCATCAAAGTCAGCGATCTGGAAATGACATCCCGCTCTTCGGCGGCAGGCCCCGTCGGAGGCGAGAGAGCATACAGGCGCCAGCCCTGGTGGGCCCTGCCACTTGGCGGGTAGGCCTCCGCGAGGAGCCGAGAGTTCTGAGTCATGAGTCGCCCGCAGACTCGACAGTACACTCATATCCGCATCTGCGGGGTGCTACGTACAACGAGCCCGCCGCAGGCGCCGATTTTTAGTTACAGAATGTGGGTGGGCCGCGGGGTGGGTCGCGGGTGGGTCGCGAGTGGTCGCGGGTGGGTCGCGGGTGGGTCGCGGGCCGGGTCGCGGGTGGGTCGCGGGTGGGTCGGGGGGCGGTCGCGGGTGGGTCGCGGGTGGATCGCGGGAGGATCGCGGGGTGGGTCGCGGGAGCGTCGCGGGCGGGTCGCGGGGTGGGTCGCGGGTGAGTCGCGGGCCGGGTCGCGGGCGGACGACGCCAAACACCAATTACGCTACCGAGGAACTCCACATACTTCGTTTAATCACTTGTGTTCGCATAGCTGACGTGCAACATGTGGACAACGCTCGCAGCCGCTACCCTGCTGCTACCGTCGGGAGGCGCTCATAGTGGGACCACCCCCTTCGCACCCCATATGGCGTCGAGAGATTGCCACGCCTGCTGCGTCCTGGACGTGAGGCGCGCATACCGGGACTACCCCCTGCGCACCTCCTATGGGGTCGAGAGCATGCCACGCCTGCAGTGCCATAGACAAGAGGCGCGCATAGCAGGACTCTCCCCCGCGCACCCCCCATGAGGTCGAGAAAGTTCCACGCCTGCTGTGCCCTGGACGAGAGGCGCGCATAGCGGGACCACCCCCTGCGCACACCTTCTGCTTATGGGGGCGAGAGAATGCCACGCTTGGTGTGCCCTGGACGATAATGGCGCGTAGCGGAACCACCCACTGCGCACCCCGTGTGGGGTCGAGGGAATGCCACGCTTGCTGTGCCCTGGACGAAAGGCGCGCATGAGGGAGACCACCCCCTGCGCACCGTCTATGGGGTCGAGAGAATGCCACGCCGGCTGTGACCTGGACGAGACGCGCGCATAGGGAGACCACCCCCCTTCGCACCCCCTGTGGGGTCGAGAGCATGCCACGCCTGCTGTGCCCTGGACGAGAGGCGCGCATAGGGAAACCACCCCTTGCGCACCACCCATGGGGTCGAGAGAAATCCACGCCTGTTGTGCCCTGGACGAGAGGCGCGCATAGGGAGGCCACTCCCTGCGCATCCCCTATGGGGTCGAGAGCATGCCATGCCTGCTGTGCCCTAGACGAAAGGCGCTCATAGGGAGACCACCCCCTGCGCACCCAGTATGGGGCCGAGGGAATGCCACGCCTGCTGTGACCTGGACGAGAGGCGCGCATAGGGAGACCACCCCCTGCGCACCCCCTATGGGGTCGAGAGCGTGCCACGCCTGTTGTGCCCTCGACGAGAGGCGCGCATGAGGGAGACCACCCCCCTGCGCACCCCCTATGGGGTCGACAGGTTGCCACGCCTGCAGTGCCCTGGACGAAAGGCGCGCATAGGAAGACCACCCCCTGCACACCACCTATGGGGCCGAGATAATGCCACGCCTGCTGTGCCCTGGACGAGAGGCGCGCATAGGGAGACGACCCCCTGCGCACCCCTTATGGGGCCGAGAGAATGCCACGCCTGCTGTGCCCTGTGGACGAGATGCGCGCATACGCAGACCACCCATGCGCACCCACTATGGGGCCAAGAGGAGGCCACGCGTGCTGTGCCCTCGAGGAGAGGCGCGCGTAGGGAGACCACCCCCTGCGCACCGTCTATGGGGTCGAGAGAATGCCACGCCTGCTGTGCCGTGGACGAGAGGCGCGCCTAGGGAAACCACCCCCTGCGCCACCCCTGTGGGGGCGAGGGAGTGCCACGCCTGTTGTGCCCTGGACGGGAGGCTCGCGTACGGAGACCACCCCTTGCGCACCTCTTTATGAGGTCGAGAGAATGCCACGCCTGTTGTGCCCTAGACGAGTGGCGCGCAATGGGAGACCACTCCCTGCGCACCCCTTATGGGGCCGAGAGCATGCCACGCTTGCTGTGCCCTGGACGAGAGGCGCGCATAGCGGGACCACCCCCTGCGCATCCCCTATGGGGCCGAGAGAAGGCCATGACTGCTGTGCCCTGGACCTGTGCTGAGCTGAGTTGTGCCGCGCTGAGCGGAGCTGAGCTACGCTCTGCTGAGCAGTGTTGCGCTGTGCTGACCTGAACTGAGCTGTGCTCAGCAGTGCTGGGCTGTTCTGTGCTGTGCTGTGTACGCGCTGTGTGTCAATGTGCTGTGTGCTGTGCTTTGCTGAGCTGTGCTGTGCTGTGCTGTGCTGTGCTGCGCTGTGGTGCGCTGTGCTGTGCGTGAAGGAGGAGGAGGAGGAGGAGGAGGAGGAGGAGGAGGAGGAGGAGGAGGAGGAGGAGGAGGAGGAGGAGGAGGAGGGGAGGTCTGTGCTGAGCTGTGCTGCGCTGTGTGGGAAGGAGAAGGGGGAGGAGGAGGTGAGGTGAGTGAAGGTCGCGGGTGCGACGCGGCAGGGATGAACACCCAAACCCCACGAAACATGTTGGGAAAAACAACCACACAGACAAACAAACAAACACACAACCAAACACACAAACAAACAATACCAACAACAGCACCAACGACACCAACAACAACAACAACATTAACAACAACAACGACAACAACCACAACACCAGCAGCCACAACACCAACAACAATAACACTAACATTGACAACAACACTATTCACAGCAACAACAACAGTTTTCCGCATTTCGGAATCCCACTCTAGCCACGCACCCAGTGACAGTGAATGACCGTTCGGCCTCCTCGCTCTGATGTCAGCGCGATGGCCGTACGCAGGCCGCCACTGTCTCATTGCGTGGATCGATCAGTGAGGTCCGAGCACCAAAGGTCGCTCTTGCCTTTCGCGTAGCCGACCCCTCCAGTGCCCGAGGCGGAGAGCTCGGAAGAGAAGATCCAGGAAGGGAAATTGGGACAGCCCAGACGCAGACTTTGTGCGCCAAGCTAAGGAATCCAGTGCCCGGACCGCCTTCTGGCGCCCACGATCAGAGGCCCAATCAGCTCCGACAACAACCTGTCACGATGTGGTATCGAAGTCCCTTAGAAATGCAAGCAACAAGAGGCCACATTGGGGGAATCCAGTGGGCAAGTTTGAAACTACAGTAGGTTTGTTTGGTGTAGGCCTTGGATGTGTTGAAAAAGAAGCGTGCGCGCCCCCCCCACCCCCGCGCTCATCGCCATTTCCTTGCCTGGAGGTACTCCTACATAGTCGGCGGCGCCCTGGAGAACGAGTTCCTGCACGTCGGGGGAGGGGTGGGGAGCCCCCCCAGCGGGGATGCAGGGGAAGGGGAGGGAGGGGTCAGGCATGTGAGGGCAGTGGGAGGGGTGTGATGGAGAGGCCCCGCTTTTGTTGCTGCCCAGTCCGTGGTCTGGGGATGTGGAAGAGTTGTGAGGAGGGGGTGGTGATCCTCTTGTCCGTCGCGCGCCAAGTTCGCTGGTCTTCCCTTTGCAGACTGCCATTCTGGCCTCGACGGCCGTTGCGACGGCCGTTCCTTGACGCTGCGTGTGTGCAGTGTGTGTGTGTGTATGTGAGTGTGCGTGTGTGTGTGTGCGTGTGTGTGTGTGTGTATTTGTGACACAGCCCTGCAGCCGGCTATGCACGTTGCTCTCTGAGGTTTGCTGTTTAATGCATGTGTGCGCAAAGGTGGATACTCACTGCATAGTGCGGCCCGCATGTGATCTGCATTCCGCCGTTTGTCACCAAGCGGCGCGTCGGAGAAACAACGTGCGTGTGTGTATAGTTGGGTGTTGTTGTGCTTGTTTGTGTGACCGCGTCGCGTATGTGTGTGTGTGTGTGTGTGTGCGTGTGCCTGTGCGTGTGCGTGTGCGTGTGCGCGTGTGCCTGTGTGTGTGTGTGGTACGTATGTGTGCATGTGTGTGGGCGTGTGGGTGTGTGTGTGGGTGCGCGCGAGCGCCCTAACATCGGGAGAGGAGGGCGGGAGAACGCGGGGTTTGTTTGAGGGAGCGAGGACGAGTGGGCCAACGAGGCGGATTGGAGGGGACGGAGGGTGTGATGATGATGATGTTTATGATGATGATGGTAATGATGATGATGATGATGATGATGATGATGATGATGATGATGATGATGATGATGATGATGATGATGATGATGCTGATGATGATGATGATGATGCTGATGCTGATAATCATGATGATGATGCTGCTAATGATGATGATGATGATGATGATGATGATGATGATGAGGATGAGGATGAGGATGAGGATGAGGATGAGGATGATGATGATGATGATGATGATGCTGATGATGATGATGATGCTGCTGATGATGATGATGATGATGATGATGGTGCTGATGATGATGATGATGATGATGATGATGATGATGATGATGATGATGATGATGATGGTGGTGGTGGTGGTGGTGGTGGTGGTGGTGATGGTGGTGGTGGTGATGATGATGCTGCTGCTGCTGATGATCATGCTCAGGATGCTAACGATGAGGATGATGACGGTTATGGCGATGGCGATGATCATGAGGAAGACGCCAGAAACGATCCCGAAGCCTTCGTGCCTCCAGTGCCGGCGCGACCGCCCGCAGCGATGATGCCGACGAGGAAGACGAGGCCAGGCCGAACACGCCGATGGCGCCCTGTCGCCCCAGGCCGCCGTCGGCGACGAGCAGGGTGCAGGCAACCGCGCGGAAATGATCTCGAACCGGTCCCTCGTGCAGTCGGAGGAGGACGACGTCGTCGAGGTCGCGAAGTTCATCCGCGGATGGGGGCGCTTTGTCCGGATGGGCTAATAATGGGCGCCCCCAGGTTGCGCTGGCCCACGAATTGCGGGAGAGCCACTGAGCAGGCGTGGATCCTCGCATGCGCCCCGCTATTGAAGATGGAAAGATCCACCCTTAGGTGCCGAACTTCGGCGACCAGCCTCTGGCGGCCCCGCGGTCGACGTCGACCCCACGGACGCCGCCCGCGCCACCCGGGCCCCCCCGCCCTCTCAGAGCGCGAAGAGGACTGCGCACACAGAGGAGACGCCAAGCGCTGCGGAGGTGACGGTCGCCGCGACTTCGAGGCGCAGCGGCGGGGGCCCCCCGCTGGGCCCGCGCAAGTTGCCCGCAAGGGCGCGGGCGCCCGCGCGCCCGTCGGCTCGCGGGGCCAGGCGAAGCACGTGTCTGGCATGGGCGGCGGCGGACACTCGAGTAAGGGCGACGCTCCGAGCGGGGCGGCGGCGTCGCCCATGCCCCCCCGCGCCAGGGCCCAAGCCCAAGAAGACCCGGCGCGGCGGGACCACCGCGCTGCTGAGGATGCTCCCGAGTCTCCACCGCCAGGCGAAGATGAGTCCGCGAGTTTGGGCGCTGCGAGCGGCAAGCCTCAGCGGTCGCCCGCGGCTTCCGATCGGGATAAGAAAACTGAGGAGAGAGGCGCAAAGCAGACCAGCCGCGAGCCTTCAAGGTATTCGACCTCGTGCCTGTCTCACCGTACCAGTACTAAGCAGCTCCAACCCATCCTTCGCCTTTCCGCGACCTCGGTGCCATCCCGCGCCGAGCCTGATTTCCAGGCTGCAGGCTTTCGGACATCCGTCCGCGGCACGAGGTCTTCACAGACGCGACGCCTGTCAGCCTGCCCGTTGCCTGCGGTCAGACCGAGATATAAGACCGAGGTCGGTTCGGGGTACTCTAATGATCTTCGTGTTTGTCGGATGCTCCTGTGCATCCTGGGGGAGGGTGCCCATGTGTTGTTGTTGTTGTTGTTGTTGTTGTTGTTGTTGTTGTTGTTGTTGTTGAACATTATTTCTTCTTAAGAATAATTATTGTTGGGACCCCTGGTGCACGACCCCCCCGCCGCGCCTAGGCCGCAGCCTCATTTTCATCATTTTCGTGAGGAAGTCTCAGGCAAAACGGGGGAGTCCGGATCCGGTTGTGTTGTTACGATCGGTTTTCCCTTGCAAAAAATAAGCTAAAGTGGACATTTCTTGTTCTAACATAACCAAACTTCAAGAATCCCTTGCAAAAAATAAGGTAAAGTGGACATTCGCGCGCGCAAGACGAAATCCTTCCAAAACCTTAGTTTTCGTAGCGATTTTAACATAAAAACATCAAAAAACCAATGGTTTTTCAAAAAAAAAAATGTCAAAATTTCATCCCGCGCGCTCTTGCGGATTCGTAGGAAACCCAACACTTTTTAAACATTTCTGTCAAACGGGCTTTTGCGAGCAACTTTTTCGAACTTCTGCAACAACGGTTGCGCACCTGCCAGGGCCATCATCCCTGTCAAATAATACCATGCGGGACACATTCGTTTTTTCTTCGCGCGCGCACGCCGTCGTCGTCGGCCGCGGGGCCCTGAATAGTAGCCACGGTCGTCCGCATGCCACGAAGTGAAGTGTCCGAACGTCATAGGGCGGGAAGCTGGGTGTGGGTGGTGGCGAAGAGTCGTTTGGAAATTTGGTAGAGCTTGAACCGGCCCCCCCACAAAGTGGGGGTATTGCCCGCCTCCTATGAAAACCCTGGCACTGGTGAGAACGGTGTGTCCCCACGTGCTAGTAATTGTTGTTGTTGTTGTTGTTGTTGTTGTTGTTGTTGTTGGTGGTGTTGTTGATGTTGTTGTTGCTGCTGTTGTTGTTGTTGTGGTTGTTGTTGTTGTTTCCAGTTTGGCCAGCGGAGGGTATCATGTTTTTGTGGGGTGCTCGTCTGTCCCAGGTCCGGCCGAGCTCGGGCGAGCTGTTCGCTGCCGTTCGTAAGTGCACGGGCGAACTCACTGAGTGCAGCCAGTGAGCCCGCACCCCGCCTGCCCGGCGCGCCTCCCAAATGGCAGCCCGGTGACCTGGATGGGTTGGGAACGTGCGCGGGGGTTGAGCAGTGCTGGCATTCCTTTTTTCTCCGTCCCTTTGCTCCACCGAAGCTGTTCGATCGCCCGTGCACTTCAGATTCGAATCGGATGCCTGGTTGCCGCTTGGGTTCAATCGATGGCGCGACAGCATCTTTGGTATTGTGGAGGAAGAGCCCTCTTATTGAATCGCTTCGCTCATTCCGCCGGCCCGTGATATGGCATCGCTGGTTTTTGTCTGTGTGTTCGTTGCCCATGGTGCGCTCTTGGGGGCGGGTGTCGTTCGGACGCGTTGCGTGGGGAGTTTTGATGGTGAAGCAGTTCCCTGGGGGTCGTCTCTCGATGGGGCGAAATAGAGTCGTCGTCAAGATGCTTCTTTGGGGGGCCTCTTGGGGTCTGTTGAGAGGCCGTTCGGGGGCGCCTGGGAGACATGTTTGAAGCCTTCTGGGGCTTCTTTTGGGCCTCCTGGGAGTCTCCTGGGGCCTCTTGGCGACATCTTGGGGCCTCTTGGAGGCCTCTTGGGGCCTCTTTGGGACCTCCTGGGCGCCTTCTGGGACGGAGGGCTCCATTTTTGAGTTCTCGGTATCCCTCCTGAGTCCCTCTTGGGCCCGTCTTGGGGCCTCTTGGTCCGTCTTGGGCGGCACTTGGGCCGTCTTGAGGGCTCTCTTGGGTCGTTTCGGCGCCGTCTTGGGAGCTTCGTGGGCCGTCTTGGAGCGGTCTTGGGGGCCTCTTGGGCCGTCTTGGAGCGTCCGGAAGCCGAAAAAGCCAGAACACAAAAAACATAGAAAAAACAATGAAAATCAACGATTTTGGCCTCTTGGGGCTCTCTTCGGAGGCCTCTTGGAAGGCTCTTGGGGCGTCTTGGAGGCCTCTTGGGCTGTCTTGGGGGCCTTTTGGGCCGTCTTGGGGTCATCTTCGGCGTCTTCGAGCGCTCTTTGGGCGTCTCGGGGGCCTCTTGGGCAGTCTTGGGGGCCTCTTGGGGCACTCTGAGCGCGCTCTGGGGAGCCTGAGAGGCCGCACCCAGAAGGAAAACCATCTCTGAGTAGACTTGGTCGGGCGGCGGTCGGGCGGCGACCGGGCGTTGGTCGGGGTACTTTTCGCCGGGGGACCCCCAGGGGCCGCCCCGCGCGCGCGAACTAGAAATACTGTTAATACTGTTAACCAGTTACCGGAGATCTTAGCACGCCCTGGCCCGTGCGACAGCATCTTTGGTACTGTGGAGGAAGAGCCCTCTTATTGTCACAATGCTGTTCTGTGCACCGCTTGCCCCGTCCCCGTAATTCTAGTTCCTCACCCTCCTCCTTCCTCCTCCCTTCCCCCTAGCCCTCTCGCATCCCCCGTAGGGGAGGTCGAAACGGTGCCTTTCCTGGAATGGCACCTGCACCGGTACGGGCGATCCTACGGCGCTGGGGGCGGGGGCCCCGCGGCGCCGTCCTGCCGCCGTTTTTTGTGTGTCTTTTTTGGGGGGGTGCCCGAGACCGGTCCTGCCTCGTTGGGCGAGCTTTGAATTAGCAGATGATTTGTCGCCCCCCATCCCCGATCTCCGCTCAAAGCTAAGGTTGCTCAGAAGAGGGAAACACGTCCAGGGGGCGATTCGGACGCACCCCTATCGAGGATTGGCGCCCGACCGGTCCTACATTCCCGAGTTTTGCCCACATGGTTAGTGCATTCGAAAAAACCCTACAGCGTCGGTGATTGGAGTCGCCAAACCGCCGCTTGAGAAAGTGCACCGCCACCGCTCCCTGGCCCACTTCCCACCGTCTGAGGCTGGACCACAGAGCTCCAGCTCCCGAGTGTGTTCAGATGTCTCGCATATCCCTGCCTCTCCCCAGCCATTCTGGGGAGGGTGGTCAGGTTGGGGTGAGGGTGCTCTTTCGTGTTCCCAGTTTTCGCGCTTGGGCCATACTTTCACGCTGACTGTTTCGCTGGGTCTGCCCAGGAGCCCTTCTGCGTGCCGTCACGGGTCTGGGTGTTCCTTGTTGTTCGTCCCCCGTCTCCGCCCGCTACCGTTCGGTGCGAGCGAACTGGATACGAAAAGAGTGGGCACGACTGACAGCAGTTTCTGTTCATTTTGAGCATGACTCGCTGTCGGTGTTCCCGCGGATGTTTCGCGCTGGAGCGTCCTCAGAGTGATATGCATGTGATTATTCGATCTGTATTGAGTCAACTTTTATTTCTGGTGGAACTCACAGCGTGACGTATTGGCTAATGCAGCGTGCGCCGTCCGCGTCGACGCCAATGCAACGTGCGACGCCCGCGTTTCCTGTTGGCTTTGCAGCCGCGCGTGGCCTCCCAAATTTTCCCATGTCCTCGAATGAGCCGTAGGGCCTCGTATGGCCTCCTCGTAGTCTCCGAGCGCTTCCTCTGGCCTGCGTCTACCCCCCATGGCCTCCTGATCACTGTTTGGGGTCGTTGCGCGGGAATTGCTGTAAGCAGCGACTGGCTGGGTCCTGACTGCGCTGGTGATCAGGGCGTATCTCCTTGGCGAGATGGGTGTTTCGGACCTGTCGAGTCCTCGGCAGACGAGTGCGGTGACACATGTGGTGATCAGGTTGTGATGCAGTGGTGATATATTTAGACGTCGGAGGGGCCGTTCGGACTGTGCCTGAGCACTGCGGAGCAGACGTAAAACTCCAGGATTTCCAGGGCCTGTTCGTTTTGTTGTTCTGCATGTGGTTCCCTGGTGCCTGCGTCTGGCTCCGGTCGTTTTCTCACCGACACCATCTGGGCGCGTTCCGAGTTGGCAACGCGGGACAGGAGGTCCACGCCTGGCGTGGGGCGTCCCGGGGCGACTGACGGGGCTGGTGGCTCGTGCATCGCAAAATGAACAGGTGCAGCATGCTGTTGCGCGGGACCAGTGGGTGCGCCATTTCAGAACGGTCAAGCACTGCGCCACTGTCCCTAGCCCTTGGGGGGGTGGTCCAACCAGGGCCCCCGCCGCCGGCCGAGCACTGGTGCCTGTGAGTTTTCTTGTATCTCGAGCAGATTGCTTTTCATGCGTCGCCTCTCGAGCCCTCGCGGGCCTGAGATGTTGTCCATTAGAGACAGGCGGCCGTCTGCCCAACATGGTCCGCTGTGGGTTTCGGACAGCATGTGTTGTTGGACAGTTTTTACTCATGTTTTCCGTACCCATTTCGGGCGCCCAAACGTTGAGTTAGGAACAGTTCGGGTTCGGAATGGGCACGTTTTTCCTTAGTTCCTTCCATGGCTGTTCCTCTAGCGCTCCTCTTGCACCCATGGCGCCTTTTGGCTAGTGATATGCTCCGTGCCCTAATTTATCGTTCCTCGTGGCAGCAAGATGGTTGTACTCCTCATCGGTCTTCCACCCCCCGCTCCTCTTCTCTCATCTTCCTGTACCTTCTCCCGCCTCGTTCTCTTGCTGCGACACCCTTCCGTCCTCCGCCAGGGGACAAGCGCGACGTGTACAAGCGCCCCGATGCCTCTAACAACCAGAGCTATAACGCGCAGAGGGCCGAGGCGCCTCGGCGGGAGGGAGCGGTGAGTTTCCGGACGCGTCGTCAGAAGTTCGGGGAGATGTCCTCACCGTCGGGTTGCAGCACCGGCGAGAGGGAACCGGAGGAGGCCCAGTCGCCGTCGAGACAACGGCCGCCATCCTCGGCGTTTTTCGTGCCGTCTGGGCCTGCTGGTGGCTGCTTGTCGCCATTGCCGGATCCGCCAAGGGGGTTCAGGATGGAACCTGGAACTGGGGAAGGCGTAAGCCACCTGGGCAGAGTCACAGGTCATTCCGACGAGACTCCGCAGAGGGGGTCGCTCAGCTGCGCCATCCGACTCGTTCCCGAGCAGAGGACGCTGGCCTGTTTTGGCGGTGCTCGGCTCCTCTGCCTTCGCCAGCCTTGCTCCTGGAAAACGCGTCATTTGAGCTGCCAGCACCCGAGCCTACTTCCGGCCGGCTCGCGCACGGATAGATCTTGCAATTCCCTGGAGGTTTGATTTAGAGCATCTGCGCTGATATTTCTGCGGTCGACGACCAGCCTAATCTGGCCCTGTCCCGCTTAATACCAATTAAATGTTGATGCTTTGCGTATCCCCACCACTCCTGCCCCTGCTTGCCCGGCGCTGGACCCGCTTCGCGCGCCCGCGTGCCAAACAGTTTCCCCACCATTCCATCCAGAAACGAATCCCAGGAGAGTTGGGGTGAACAGGGAATTGTAGGAGCAAGATAGGGGGCAGCCGCTATCTGTCGAAGGAGGAGGAGGAGGAGGAGGAGGAGGAGGAGGAGGAGGAGGACGGTGGAGTAAATGGAGGGGGGGGGACGCACACAAAGAGGAGGAATAGGCAGTTGAGAAGCAGGAGGAGGAGGAGGAGGGAGAGGAGGAGGAGGAGGAGGAGGAGGAGGAGGAGGAGGAGGAGGAGGAGGAGGAGGAGGAGGAGGAGGAGGACGAGCAGGAGGAGGAGGAGGAGGAGGAGAAGGAGGGGGAGGAGGAGGACGAGCAGGAGGAGGAGGAGGAGGAGGAGGAGGAGGAGGAGGCGAGCAGAGGACCCGAGGCCTCTTGGATGCCCGAGGGCTTCCTTGGAGGCCTATTAGTCCGTCTTGGATGCCTCTTGGCGGTCTCGGGGGCCCCTTGGGGCGTCTTGGGTGCCGTTGAGGATTGCCTCTTGAGGCCCCTTGGGGCCGTTTAGGCACCTTTTGGGTGCCTGTTGGGTACCTCCTTGGGCTTTCTTGGGAGCCCTGGAGGCCTTTGGAGTCATCTTGGGCTTGGGAAGGTCACCAGAAAACAATTGTTGGCCTCTTGTGGGCTATCTTGGAGGTGCTGCGGGACCACTTTGAGCCGTCTTGAGGCGGCCTTGGAGCCTCTAGGAGCATCTTGGAAGCCATCTTGAGCAATCTTCAGCCATCTTGAGCCCTCTTGGAAGCTCTCTTGGGCTCTCTGAGGCCCTCTTGGAGACATCATGGGCCATCATGGGCGCTCCACTTGGTCGCAGGGCACCCCGTCCAGGTCTAGGGGGAGGGGGGAGGGGGAGGGGTCGGAGCCCCGCCAAGACCGCACGCCGTCTCGCGCACCCTCACCCGCCTCCCAACACATAAGTCGTACCCGGGTTCCAGCACATCGCCGAGGAACGCCACGCATGCCATGTGCGCCAGAGGTTCAGGTGCACCAGGCACCCTGGAAGCCCAAGAGTGCGAGGCGCGGCAGGTAGGGCATGTGCTTCCAGGTGCGCCACTGTACAGCCGTCACTGAGTGGAGAGTTACGGTGAAGAAACACAGACCCCACGTGCCTGGGGCCCCGACCCCAAGGAGTTCATGCTTTCGAGCGTAGGCCGAAGTTTTTCTCGGGAGGTAAAGTCCAACTTCAACTCCAACTCCAACTGGCACGTCGCGCCCGTTAGGCCGCAGTTTCAGTTTTGGCCGGCCGAGCCCGCTCGCAATGTAGGGCGCAAACAGTTCACAGCGGAGGGCGCAACCTATGGCGCAATTGCTAGGCGGCCGTTCCATGCCCGGAGCCATTGTTGCTCAAGTCGGTTCGTCTCGCGTAGCCGTCCGCTGAATGCGTTCAGCACGGGATCTCGCCACCTATGCTCCATGGTTAACCAGCTGACAGAGGCGCCGATCGCGGATTTCAAGGAGGCATTCTCGTTGTTCGATAATGATGGCGCCCTCGCCGAGCACGCGTACCAGATCGTCGAGGGGTCTCAGCAGAAGGTGCTCACCGATTTGATGTTCATGCCTGCTGTTTCTTCCCGCCACGGGCAAGAGGATCTTTGGTTGGAGTCGGCGTGTCGCTATCAATTATTCGTGTGTTCCCTCATCGGCTCCATCATCGATGGGTTCACGGCCGTCCTCGTGGTGGTTTGGAACTCGCTCATGCATGCCATCCATGGCAACGGACCCGTATACTTTCGCATCGTTTCTGATGGTGATTCTGACTGTGGTGACGACGCTCGGGATCTCTCAGATCGTCTCCAATGGCAAAATATTGTTTCTCATGAGACTGGCCGGGCCCTTCTCAGTGGCCTGCGCCAGCTTTCTCGTGAGGAGGTCCGCAAGCTCGCAGGAGGCCCGCAAACTGCCATGGTCTCGGGCGCCTCCGCTGCACGGTCGAGCCCGTGCCTGCGCGTGTTGTGCCGGCCTTAGGGGTTGGCCACGGTTGCCGCGCCTCCGCCTACGTCCGACGGCTTGGCTGCTGCTGTCCCAGACGGTGTCGGCCCAGCTGCAGCAGCGCCCGCGTGGGATGATGGCCTTGTCGAGGCCTGGGATTTGATGTGCCCATTCCTGGAAGCGTGCGCCGAGCAGCACCAGCTGGGCCCACCAGCACCACTGATGTCTTCGCCGCTGCTCTCCGCCGGAGGTGGCCACCTGCTGGCGCAGTGCTATCGCCAGAGGCGGCCAATATCGTGAAGCGCCAACTTGCGCGCGATTCGCGTGACGCTGAGGACGCCGTCGTGCCCAGCACTGGTGACCTAGAGTTGGACAACACGATGGAGCTTGACATCCTTACGGACGCTGACGTCACCGAGGGCTTCGCCAACCTGTTATCGGACCACTTGGAAATGGCACCGTCCGGCAGTACAGGACGCGCACGGACATCCTTTCTCTATATGCTGGCAACAGGCCCCCGGACCGGCTCGCCCGTTTTCGCTGGGTTGTCGATGTGATCGTCAGCGAGTCGCTTTTGAATTTGAAAGTCCGAGGCCCTTTGAAGTTCAGTGACCAGGGCCTCGCCAATATGGAGGCGGCCCAGGCTGCCTGGCTACGCTCCCTGGATCCCCCCCCGGCGGGGCTTGGTCCTGGCAGTTCGGCTCTTCAACAAGTATGTGTGGCAGTGGGCAATCCGGCCACTTCGACTGATGCCGCCGCAATGGTGGATATGCACGTGCATGATACGTATGGGCACAGACCTTTTACAGTGCAGTGTTTGTGCTCGTTCTCGCGTGCCCGCCGCAATGGAGGGCTGCTGCGGGCGATCGGGCTGTGCAGGCGACGCAGCTCCCTATCCTTTCTTAACACCTGATGGCGCAATGCCATCTCCTCATGTGGCTGGCCGCAAGGATGCCACTCGCGATTCTGTTTCTTCGGCGCCCTTGGCCCGGACCATGTCTGGGGCCCGCACTGGTGCCCGTTCGTCTGACTGTTCATGAATTGTTATCGCCAGGCCGCTGTCACGCCAGGCTTCCTGGCTGGGCGGCGCCGTCACCAAGGCGATGCTGGTTCGATAACGATGGCGATGACACCATCACCACGAACGAGCTTGGCACAGTCATGCGCTCGCTTGGCCAGAACCCCACCGAGGCGGATACGCGAAACATGATCAACGATATTCACGCGGATGGCAACGGCACGATCGATTTCCCCGAGGTCGTGCCGCTCATGCCGCGGAAGATGGGGACACCAATGCGGAGCAGGAGGTTATCGAATCATTCAAAGTGTTCGATCTGGACGGGATCGGATTCGTCAGCGCCGCCGAGCTGCGCCACGCGATGGCGAACCTCGGTGAGAAGCTCGCTGATCAGGCGGCCGACCAGATGATTCGCGAAATCGACGTGGATGGCGATGGGCAGATCAACTTCGAGGAAATCGCGAATATCAGGGTGGCTCAATGGTGGCCGGTAGATCAAACCAGCGCGCCGAAACGTTTGTTTCGTTCGCGTGTCAAGCTGCAGTGGGGATCTTCCTTCTCTTGCAATGCGCGCCTGCCCTCGCGATGCGCGCCTGGCACCTTTCGGCGATTGATCGCGTCGCAAAGCTTGCAATTTAGGCGGCCGTTTCCGGTTCTGCAGGCGTAGGGCGCAATTTATGGCGCAATCGATAGGAGGCCGTTTTATGTTCGGCCGTCCGAGGGCGCAACCTATGGCGCAATCAGTCGCCGGCCGTTTTATTTTCGGCCTTCGGATGGCGCGACCTATGGCGCAATCAATAAGAGGCTGTTTTATTTTCGGACCCCGTCGGTCACGCGCGGCCGCATAACCCTCGCCATATTGCGTATGTACAGATTGAAATCCATATGTTTCCAGCCACCTGAACTGACAAGCCTTAGCCAGGGGCTCAGCCTTTCGGCATTGAGCAATGCGCCGGCACCCCAGCCACCCCAGTCACCCGCGCGTGCTCCAGATTCGGAGGCAAAATGCATTATATGTTGTTGTTTTTGTTGGCAGGGGTGGTCGGCTTGCGCGCAACTTGCGCGCGACAGCCATCGGAAACCAACGCAAACTGTGGAACGCAATGTGCATTCTGTTTTGTTTTTGTGACAGGGATGATTGGCCTGCGCGCGTCGCGCAATATGCTGGCCCCCTCCCGCCATTCTGTCACGAACCAACGCGAAGTGGTCGCGGGGCGCCTGCCGGGTGGTCGCGGATGGAGGCGAATCGCAGGTTTTTTTTTTTTTTTTTTTTTTTTTTTTTTTTTTTTTTTTTTTTTTTTTTTTTTTTCTCCCCCCCAAACCTCCTGCGTTGGGTACTCGTTTTGAATAGAGCACTGCGGTCTCCACCATCCTTCCTTCCTTCCTTCCTTCCTTCCTTCCTTCCCGCCTCCTCCCGCCATCCCTGGTGGGGCTGCGATCTGCGAAACTTTCGAGGGCTGCTGGTGGGTTCAGCGGAGTGAGGCACCACGGGGACTCAGACTAGACCTCGCCATCCTTGGGGGGGGGGGGCTGCGATCTGTGAAACTGTCGCCACTTTCGAGGGCTGCTGGCGGGTCCAGCGGAGTGAGGCACCACGGGGACTCAGATTAGACCTCGCCATCTCTGGGGGGGGGCTGCGATCTGTGAAACTGTCACCACTTTCGAGGGCTGCTGGTGGGTCCAGCGGAGTGAGGCACCACGGGGACTCAGATTAGACCTCGCCATCTCTGGGGGGCTGCGATCTGTGAAACTGTCGCCACTTTCGAGGGCTGCTGGTGGGTCCAGCGGAGTGAGGCACCACGGGGACTCAGATTAGACCTCGCCATCTCTGGGGGGCTGCGATCTGTGAAACTGTCGCCACTTTCGAGGGTTGCTGGTGGGTCCAGCGGAGTGAGGCACCACGGGGACTCAGATTAGACCTCGCCATCCCTGTGTGAAACTGTCGCCACTTTCGAGGCTGCTGGTGGGTCCAGCGGAGTGAGGCACCACGGGGGCTCAGATTAGACCTCGCCACCCCTGGGCGGCTGCGATCTGTGAAACTGTCGCCACTTTCGAGGGCTGCTGGTGGGTGGCCAGCGGAGTGAGGCACCGCGGGGACTCAGATTCTGACCACGAGCAATGCTCGCGTGCCCTTGCTCTGCGGTTCGTGCCACGTGGCGCTGCGACTCGAGCTGGCGGTCGTCCTTCGGACCCGCAGAAACATCTGCTGAGCTCGATGAGCTAGGGGAACTACAGGAAAGAAGTGCAGGAAACGGAGGCCGGTCATGCACTCGCCGATACCTCGTTGCTCTGTCATCGTCTTTGCTGTTGCATGATCCTTATCTGGCCTGCCGGCGCCGCGGCTCGAGCTGGCGGTCGCCCTTCGGGCCCGCGGGAACATCTTCTGAGACAAGTGGACGCCGCCGCCTTACTTGCAGGCAGCGCATTGCATTCGCGGACAGCAGCATGGCAGACCGCAGTGAGATCCTCAGTCGCGTGGTGTTGCCAAGCCTGGTGGAGACGCGCGTGATCGACCTGAAGTCCCAATCGCGCGTGCACTGTACCTGCGTGGCGTTCAGGCACGCGCGTGATGCTGCTCGCTCCGCGTTCAACCAGTACGTCGCCAGTGCAACTTTGGACGATGGACAACCGATTGATGATACGCGACCCCGGCCTTGAGTTTCTTTCCCGCGGGCCGCCCGCAGACCTGGCGGCGCGCCTGCGAGCGTTCAGCTCCCGCGCTGAAGTGTGCGGGAAGGAGGCGGAGAAGCTAGCGGGCGAGCTACGCCTCGCTCGTTCCTTGCACTCTAAACAAGTTTTATCATGTGGAACTCTGCGACGACATGGCGCAGGCAGCGCTGCGGGTTTAGCTCGCACTTGAAAAACGCGGCAGTCTTCTGTCTCCTCCCGCCACTTTCATCGTCGTCCTATTCCCCGCCTCACCTTCTCCATGCATGCTGCTGCTTCCGCGATGGCCTTTCGCCCCCCCCGCCCTCCATTCCATCCCTCTCCTACCCCTCGTTCCCGTGCCCGTTCTTCTTCGATCCTGGGGCCTCAAGCCTCGTTCTTTCGATCGTCGTCCTGTGAATCGTGCAACGCATGCGCATCCCATGTAGCTTGCACAGCAAATCACCGCGTCTACATTGTCGTTGTTCCTGCTAATGTTGGCGTACTCCTCTTGCCATTTGATGCGCGTGGGTTGGGTACGTCGCAGGGTAATTTTTGACGGACGGACGGTTTGCGCCCAATTTGTGCGTAACAAACAGCACGCCGACATTCCCGCCGTCCGTGTCAAAAACCAATGCGGAGTGGTCGCGGGGCGCCCGCGCATGCTCCAGATTCTACAGGCTTACGCCACATCCGCCGACCCCTTCTGTGAGTGTTGCGAGGCCAGGAGTTTGTGGCCAGCGGCGTCTTGTGTGAGGGTGCGGTGTCGCGCGCGGGTGGTGGCAGATACGTAGGGGTCCAAATGTTTGCGTGATGCCGGTGGTCTGGGGCGTGTTTTGCGAGCGCCTTGCGTGCTGTGCGCCCGGGTGCGGGGTGTCCTTTTGGGAGGTCGGCCTTTCGACCCGCAACCAAGTGGAGGACCGCCGGAAGACGAAAGGAGCAAGAGTGGTGTGCGGAAACTGTGATCAGCGAGGCATCACCGCGAAAGATGTGGCAGATGAATCGAAACGGGTGAAGAGGCCGTCGACGTTCGCAGCGCGCACTAAGCAGTTCGCGCGGCAGCAACACATTAGCGCCGAGCATGATAGTGAGCACTTCACGAGGAAGAGCAAGGCTGTATGCGCGGAGTGCATTGCAGTTGGCTTCGCGGCTCGCAATACAGAAGCGTCTGGGGGTCTTTTGGGGGCCTCCTGGGGGCCTCTTGGGGGCTCCGTGGAGCGTTTTGGCGGCCTCTGGCGGCCTCTTGGGGCACTCTTGGGGCACTCTTGGGGCCCCCTGGGGCTCGTGGGGGCGGGCCCCTCTTGGTGCCGTCTTGGAGCCTTCTTGGGCCGTCTTGGGGACCTCTTGGGCCGTCTTGGGGCCATTTTGGGCCGTCGTGGGGCCGTCTTGGGGGCTTTTTGGGCGGTCTTCGGGGCCTCTTGGGCCGTCTGGGAGCGTCGGAAAGCCCACAAGGCGAATTGGTGAAACAGTACACGTTTTACGAAGGACATGAACAAATTTTTGCGTCTAGGGACCCTCTTGGGACGTATCTTGGAGGCCTCTTGGGAGCGTCTTTGGGCCATCTGGGGACCATCTCGGGTGTCTTTGATCGTTCTTTGACCGTCGGGGACCATGTTGAGCTCTCTTGGAAACACTTGGAGCGCTCCTGGAGCGCTCTTGGGGCCGTCTTCGGGGCTCCCTTGGGCCGTCTTCGGCGCCCCTTGAGCCGTCTTGGGGCCCTCTTGGGCTGTCGTGGGGCCCTCTTGGAGGCTTCTTGGACCGTGTTGGGGCGGACTTGGGGGCCTGTTGGGCCGTCTGGGAGCATCGGACAACCCAAAAGGCGAATTTGTGAGAAATGCACGTTTCACGAAGGGAACGGGCCAATTTTGTGCGCCCACAAGCCCTCTTGGGACGCGTCTTGGGTGCCTCTTGGGGCCTCGTGGGGGCATCTTGGGCCGTCTGGAGGCCATCTGCGGTGTCTTTGATCGCTCTTGGGCCGTGTGGGGCCAAATTGAGCTCTCTTGCAGGCCACTTGGAGCGCTCCTGGAACGCTCTCGGGGCCGTCTTCGGGGCCCTCTTGGGCCGTCTTGGACGCCTGTTGGGCCGTCTTGGGGCCCTCTTGGGCTATCTTGGGGCCCTCTTGCAGGCTTCTTTGGCCGTCTTGGGGCGGTATTGGGGGCCTCTTGGGCCGTCTGGGAGCATCGGCAAGCCCAGAAGGCGACCTTGTGAAAAATCGTACGTTTTACGAAGGGAATGGGCCAATTGTCTGCGTTTCGGGACCCTCTTGGGGCGCATCTTGGAGGCCTCTTGGGGCCTCGTGGGGACCTCTTGGGCCGTCCAGGAGGCCTCTAAGTCGCGGGGCGCCCGCGCATGTTCCAGATTTGGAGGCAAAGTGCATTCGCTATTGTTTTGTTGACAGGGATTGTCTGGGGGGTGGCGTGACCCCGGGTGGTCCGCAGTCCGTCCTGCTCACTCCCACCCGCCTTCCCAACCCGCAGCAAGACCCGAACCGCAGCATGTTCAGCGGGAGCCATTGGATCGGCAGCTAATGAGAACCAGAACGTACCCCATGTGCCCAACGCGGGGGTGAGGAACGCCACGCGTGCTAGGCGCGCTATGCACGCCAGGTGCGCCAGGCACCGCTGTGGCCAAAGCGTGCCGGGACGCCTGGTGCGCCAGAGGCGCCACGTGAGCCACGAGCGCCATGTGTGCCGCACGTTCCAGCCGCGCCAGGTGCGCAACGTCCGGGGCACGCGCAGAGCGTGCCAGGTGCGCCTACGCACGTGGCGGTGCAACGCGGGAAGCGTGTCGGCCCCCACCACTTTTGTCAAAAAGCAGGGCGCAATCGCAGCGGGGTGACCGTATTGGCTCTCACATAGCAGGCAATATGCCAGCACACCTGCCGTCCTATTCAAAAGCCGATGCGCAGTGATCGAGGGGCGCCCTCGCATGGTCCAGATTTTGCCTCAAAGGGTATTTCGTGTGGTTTTTGACAGGGATGTTGGCTTATCGCGCAGCAGGCAATATGCGGGCAGCCCCGCCGTCCGTGCCAAAAAAAATACGAAGTGTTCGCGCCCTCCCGGGTCGTGGCCCATAATGTTGTCCCCAAGTTGACGCCACATTTTTTTGACAAGGATGGTGGGGGGGGGTCTCATTGGTCCGGGTTGGCGGCCCGTCGCCTGCGGAACAGTGGTCCAGCTACCTTCGTAGATAGTAGGCTGTCTAGCCCACTGTCACCCGCCCTCCCAAATAAGTAGTTCCCGAGTGTCAGCGTATCGCCTAGGAACGTCAAACATGCCATGCGCGCCACGGGTTCCAGGTGCACCAGGCAGCCTGGAGGCCCAAGCGTGCCAGGTGCGGCACGTGCTCCAGCTGTGCAACGTGCCCCAGCCGCGCCAGGTGCGCCAGCTACGAGGAACCAGTGGGGACCCCAGGTGCCTGGGGCCCTGGCCCCAAGGGGTCCAGGATCTCGTATCCCCCGGAAGCGAAGTGCCGAGCATTCTGTGAAGGGCAGCTAGCTCTTCCAGGGAGCGCAAAGCACCAGCACCGATGGACAAGTTGCTGCATGTTACGGAGTCGTGGAGTCATGAAACAGATGAGAGCTCTGAGAACAATGGGTCCCGCGCATGCTCCAGATTTGGAACCAAAGTGTAATTTGTATTGTTTTTAGCAGGGATGGTTGGCCTGCGTGGTCTTTTTTGTCTGCCCGTGGTAGGGGCCGTTTACTAATAGAGAAAGGGAACCGTGATTAAACCTTCTCAGAAGGGGAAGAAGGGACGACAGAACAGCAAACTCCTTAGACCACTCACGCCCAGAGGGCTGGTGGGTTTTGCCTAATATCCTGGGCTTCCCTACTGGGCCTTTCTCTGGGTTTATCCGATTTGATGTCCCCCCTGTCTGGTTCTTTGGCGCTTGGATCGTTCCCGCGAAGACTTCCTGCGAGCTCCCGCCTGCGCTGGCGCGCAGGGGCAGCGGATGGCCGAGCCCTGGCTCGGCCTCCAGGAGGCCGTGCCGGAGGTGCCGCCCGCGTGCCCCCAGGTCGCCCGCGCCTTCGCGGGGTCCCATGCCGATCCAGTGGGTCGGACTCGGTGTCGGTGCCGGCCTCCCGATCCGATCCCAATGCCAAATTATCACGACCCGATGCGGCACCCTATGCTTGCACGGGGGTGTTGTGCATCCTGGCACGGTCGACCCGATCCGATTCCGGCTCCGTGAAGATGCGGCCCAATCTGATTCGCGTTGCGATCCGAGTTGGTTTCTCCTTTCAATGTCGACGGATTCGAACTTGCTAATCTTAGCCCAGAATTAGGGCGAGTAGAGTACTTCTGGTCGAGTTGTCCGTACCCCTGAGAAGGACAGTCTGCGTCAGCAGCTGAATACCAATGGACACCCTTTGAGAAGCATGCGTTCCAGGAGTACCCTGACGTGAAGACAGTACGAGTCAAACCACGACCAGCAGGTCAAGTTCTTCCATTTTGTTTGTACCCTCTGTGTGCAAGTCACTTTGCGTGCATGGCCGTATCCTCGGTGCTCCGTAGGAAGGACGTACTGGTGCCAGAGCCCCAGGATCAGACGGAGAGCCGAGGAGCAGGTTTCATTGCATAGTTGTTAATGTTATATAACATGTTTGTATCTCTAACAGGCCGACATGGTCTACTGCTTCGTCTTCGCGCCCACGGCAGGGGGAAGCTTGCATTGTGTCAAATTGGAGAGGATGTTGTAACCCCCTCATAGATCGTGCAAACCGTCGATCAGATCACCCGCCATCTCCTGTCTCTGCACCTCGTGCTCCGAGCTGCAGAAGCAGAGACTGGTGTCTTTATTACGTACGTAGCGCGAAGGTGTCGACGTCAGCTTGTTTCGCTCATTGAGAGTACTCGCCGGGCTTTTCTCGGACAGGATGCTCGGTGCTGTTGTGCTAAATAGGCGCGTGCTTTAAGATTGCGCAGGCCTAGCAGTTCGCAGGGACGGACAGGTGAGCAATGTGGAGCATCACGATGAACACGTTGTGCAAATCACTGTATCTGTTCAGTACGATCTACAGAGCAGTGTTGTATGTCCTGTGCTCGAACCAGCACGGTAGACAGGTGTGTTGCAAATGGCGGATTCAGTCGTTGGGGAGAGAGTTTCCGCGTAAAGACAGCAGTAGCTAGCAGGCCCATATCCAGGCAACCAGATATTTTTGCGCGGGGCCTCCTGGACGCTCGAATGCAGCTCGGTTGGACGTCGGACGCTCCAGCCATGTAACGCCTGATCACTCGATCACTTCCGAGATGGAAGACCACCTCGGTTTTCCTTCGACGTTTTCAGCCGAAGCGCATTCAAGCGGATGCATTGCAGATTCATTGATTCATGGCTCTCGACGCTGTTCTCAGCGTCCGCCTCTCAAACGTCCTTGCGTTCGAGCGCAGAACTTGTTGAGCGGGGGCTTACTCATCATGCCTCATGCCCATCGCCTAGGGCATCGGTCTTCGAGGTCCTCGGCAGGCGGTGGATATGGATATATTTGCCCACCCCCCCAGGGGCCCGAATGTATTCCTATCCATCGCCTGCCGAGCTCCTTGAAGGTCCATCCCCAGACGATAATGATGGGTAAGTCTCCGCCTCCGAGACCTGGTGTCCGAGAGCGAACGAACACGGCCCGCCGCCCGCATTCTCCGACGGCCAGGGCCTCGCCACTCGCGCGCCTCTCATCGAGAGACGCCGCGTGCGCGCTCTCCTGTGCCTCCTGGGGCCTCCTGGGGCCTCGAGACTGAAGAGCCAGATGCAGAGAATGGGAATGATCCGTTGACGGATCATAGCAGGAATGCAAGGCAACTACATCAACATGCACGTTCAGAGCTCCGCGCGGGTTTCTTAGATCGGCGCTGGGCCCCCTCCCTGGCGCGCGGAGCGCGCCAGGGGCGGCGCCGGAGTTGCCGCCAGGGGATTCCACCGCAGATCCAACAAATCTGCGTGGATCAACGAAGGGTTCTGTGTATTCCAGGTGTCTTCTTCGAAGGAAAGGCCCCAGCCCTCCTCGCCGCTCCTCATCGAAGCAGAGAAGTTTATATACACGGTGTTCCGCGCTGATTTCGTGGCGAGAATCTGAGTTCAGCCATGGCGGGAAGGACGCAGCCTGCCTAGAATACCTTCCCTCGCAGCAACCACATTTTACTCCGATGTAGCTGGGATAAGAGTCTGCAGAACATATCTTTGGAGGTTCGGGCGGACTGCTTGGGTCAGCATTGGACCCAAGGTCGACGCCCGTTTCGGCGTCACCGCATGTACCTCTACATGTGATGAGTCGTTTGCGCCTGTGCCTGAAGGTCGGCCCATCCTCGTGATCTTCACTTTGAGGACACCTCTGCAGGGAGCCACGGGTTTAGCTAAACATGAGGGTACGGCCAGGCGACGCACCCCGAACGGCCGACGCCGCCACGAAGTTTGGGAGGGGGGGAGAGCTGAGTCTTTGGATCGCGGTGCCTCGTTCCGCAGCGGAGCTCACAGAGGCGAGGGCCCAGGGCGGCGAGCTGCCGAAGCAGCCCGTGCGCCTCCCGCCGACGCTCAGCACGCTCAAACGCTGCACGGATGGACCGTTCAAGTCCGGCGCAGGGAGGGGGCCGCGGGCGTGGTGCGGGCGGATGGCAGGGATGGCTCGGCCCTTGCTTCCAGGCCGCTCCTCCTCGGCTTTGCTCTGCGGATGCTCTGGTTTCAGGGCTGCCTGCTGCATCATTCGGCTGCTGCTGCTGCTGCTGCTGCTGCTCCGCTCCCTGCAAAATACCTGCTCTACTCTTCCCCGTGCTGCTTCTACTCCGCCTGCTCTGCTCATGGTCGATTCTGCTCATTCTTCTAATCCCTTATCTATCCTCCTCGTCCTCATCCATTTCCTGCTGCTGAGGGTTGTGGAACGGGAGTGAAATCCGGGGCGATCATGAGCAGATGCAGCAAGACAGAGGCGAGGGAGGACACTTGCAGGATGAGGCAGACAGATGTCGTGATGGTTATGATGACGAGGATGAGGATGATGAGGATGATAATGGTGATGCTGATGGTGATGATGATCATGCGACTGATGATGATAGCGACGATGATGAACATACATACATCTATTGTACTTGTACTGATGATGGTGGTGATGATGATGATGATACTTGTGGTGTTTGGTGCTGATGCAGATGCTGATGACAAGACAATGAGGAAGAGGAAGATGCAGAGGGGCATGATGAGGAGGAGGAGGAGGAGGAGGGCCAGACTGAATCAAATATTCATCAACGGTTCTGCAAACCACCCTTCCCAAGTCCTTTCGTCGAACATTCCTACGAACCGTATCCTTCACTGCAAGCAGCCACCTTTGGTAAGACCGTTCCTGTGTCTGGTTGCATCTCGTCTTGCCAGCGAGCGATAATCATGCCGCAAAGGTATTATTACCGTATTGTTTTAACATCGAATCATGGCCTCGAGGCAGTCTCAAGCGAAAGCCCCACGTCGAAGAGAATCCGCCCTCCACCCTTTCAGCTGTTGCATGTGTTCAGAGTTATGTTTTCTAAATGCGCAGGAGTTTCAAGCTGAAGCCCCGTCTTGAACAGGAGCCGTCCTTCACCTCTGCATCTGCTACGAACTTGTAGGACGAATGTGAATAGGGCTGAGGCGAGAGCCCCAGCGTGAAACGGAATTTCCCTCCATGTTTGAAGCAGTTGCGAATTGTACATAAGAATGCGAGCTGCGCCACGGCGATGGGCAAATTTTCCCAAACCACCACCCCTCCATACCTGACGCGTTTTTTTGCCACTTTTACGACGAATGTGCGCTGCGCTAAGGCGAATGCACCGCTGCAAATGTTCAAGGCGAAGGTGGGCGGCGCTGAGGAGAGAGCCCCGTTTTGAATTCGATCTCCCTCAAATCATTCCAGCTGTTGCCAAGCTTGAGCATCAGGGTCGCAAGTGGTGAGGCAGTCTCAAGCGAAACGCCCGACCCCTCCTACTGACACGCTTTGGGGTACGACAGGGACGAGGTACCGAATTGTTCGAAGCAACACCCGCCCCTATGCTTGTGCAACAACGCACCAGTAAGGGTACGATTTGCAGGAACAGCGCAATTCCGACGACTGGGAGGAGTCGTGATCTCGACCTCGTCTGCGCGCGGCAGGGTGGAGGTCGAGTTCACGCCCCCCTGCAGCTCTGTCTGGATTGGGGTGGGTTGCGAACTCGACCTCAACCTCGTGTGCGCGGTGGGGAGGAGGTGGTGGAGTCGGAGGAAAACATTGAGGAGGAGAAGGTGGAGGAGGAGGAGGAGGAGGAGGACCAATGTATGCCCGAGGTGCGTCAAGTAGATTGCAACCAACCCTGCCTCTAAGCTCCTTCTGAACAGGTCTCGAGAATGTGTTTCAAGGTCGGAAGTGGCCCATTAGGAGACAACCGTTTGATAATCCTCCACCGTGCAAAAATACATTTCTTGGGTATCAACGCTGCGGACCAACGTGACTGTTGCGACCTGGCACTCCTACGTAAATCGTACCAGAACGCCGTTCCTGGGACTCCAGCACCGCGAAACAACTTAACGGCTGCGTCCTGGCAAATCCTAGATCGTGCCAGCACGCTGTTCCAGGGACATCGACAATACTAAATCTCCGGAAGTGTTGCTATTTGTTCGGACGAGCGGCTGAGCGTGTGTGGTCCTAAGGCAAGAGTCACATTTCGGAAAGGAACCGCCCTCCGTCATTTATTCGGATGCAAACGTTTACGGCGACTGTGCGCGGCGTGGCGATAACAACATTTTGAAAACGATCTTGCGTCCACCCCTGAACCTACTGCACACTTTCAAGACGAATGAGCGCGGCGCTAAGGCGAGCGACACATTTCAAACACCAGCCGCCCTCCATCCTTGAAGATGTTGCAAATTTGCGAAAGTGCGTGGCGCTGTGGCGAGACCGAAACTTTGAACACACCCGCTCTCCAACCGTGAAGCTGTTGCAACCTGTTACGTCGACTGTGCGCGGCGCTGGAGCGAGAGCCACATTTCGAAAACGCAGGCCCTCCATCCGTGAAACCGTTGCAGCAGACTTCATGGTCATGGGAGGCGAGAAAGGGTCAGACGAAACGCCCGGGCCGCAGGAGTCAGCGATGAGGACAAAGATGGAGGAGAAAGGGCAGCAGACAGGAGGGAAGCAGGTGGAGGGAGGAGTGAGGAGGAGGAGGGGGAGGAGGAGGAGGAGGAGGAGGAGGAGGAGGGACAGTGGCCATTTGGGCTCAAACCATTTTGGCTCAAATCCCATCTCGGCCCAAGCCTGTCAGGCTCAAATGAGCGAGCGACATGTCTGAACCACACATGTGCAGACTTGAATGCCAGTCGATGCGCGCCTTATTCGGGGCGGCCTTCGCTGGTGAACGCCGGATAATTTTGCTGCAGGAGTATCTCGCACATCCAGATACTCACAGTCGGGTGGCAGTATTACTGGTCACCTGTTGTTCCCTTTGTTCGTGGATGCCGTCACTCAAGTTCAAATTCTTGGGTGCGCCCTTCGTGCTTCATGTTGCGATCGTTCTTTCAACTGAAATGGTGCGAACTGGATGTCAAGCAGTGACGAAGCGTCCCGGCGTGCCTATAGGCCTACCAAACAATGTCCTAAGAACCTTTTGTGGTTTCCACGCAATGTTCTTCGAACATTTCTGGCTGGGACTGTTTTGTTTCAACACATCGGGCACATGTTCTAAGAACATTGTCTTCTTCTAAGAACATTGTTGGGCTCTGAGAACATTTCGTAGTAGATCTATAAGAATGCCGGGACGGGCAGTCCCTGCTCAAGGATGTGCCAGCCATCCGTACATTGAGCTGTGCATTTTTGGTTTCCAGAATGGGCGTGGCGGTGGCGTAGCGCATTTTGCATTCGTTCATGGCTTGCTTATTCGTCCTGTAGTGGGTGTCTTTTCAATCAAGGCGCCTTCAGGTATTTGGCACTATGGGTTACTGCGTGCTTGCGTTGCAGTCACAGTCACTTTTTCTGCAGTTCGAAGCAACAGTTCCATCGGCAATTCCCGAGTGAGTTGTGTTGTTTGACTGTGTTCGTTTCGGTCGTGCACGCGGGACTAGCACCTCGGCCTCAGCGAGTCGCCCCGAATACAGTATTGCAGGACATTTGTTAGTTTTCGATTGTCTGCGGGCGTCCGCGGGGTTCGCTTGTCCCCGGTCTACTTCGGCGCTGTCGTGCGCAAGTTCCTGGAATTCTTGGGGGGGAGTTTCGCTTTTGGTCGTTTGGGTCTTGCTGGCGGCGGATTCCCTTCGTGTCCTCAACATGTGGCATTGTATGTGGCTGGCTTGGCGGGCTGCATGTGCGCAGCTTCCTGGTACCATCGTCGTGGGAAACGCGTTTGGGCTTCTTCGCGCGCTGGTGCATGAACGTGGACTTCCTGAGCGCCGTGGGGAGGTGTGGCCTGCTTGACCCATCCTTTCTTGATGAATTGAGGAAACAGAAACAAGAAAGAGTGGGGGAGAAGGAGGAGGACAAGGGGAGGAGGAGGAGGAGGAGGAGGAGGAGGAGGAGGAGGAGAAGGAGGAGGTGGGGGAAGGAGGCTCAGGAGGGACCCGGGGGGTGGAGGTGGATGGAGGAGGTTCAGGAGGGAGTCGGGGGGGAGGGTGCCGGGAGGAGGGGGGAGGGAGGCGGGAGGAGGGAAACGGGAGGAGAGTGCGGGGAGGAGGGAGGAGGGAGGAGGGAGGAGCAAACGGAGGAGGATGAAAAGGAAGATTAGGAGGAGGGAGGAGGAGGAGGAGGAGGAGGAGGAGGAGGAGGAGGAGGAGGAGGAGGAGGTGGGGTGGAGGTGATTCTGCCACTTGGGGTGCGCGCCAGGAGAAGGAGGCTGAGGAGGAGGAGGAGGAGGAGATGGAGGAAAAGGATGACGAGGAGGAGGAGGAGGACAGGTGTAAACCCACGGGTCATCAAGTATGTTGGAATAAACCCTCCCTCCAAACTCCTTCTCCATAGGCCCCATATAACGTTTCATTTCCATTTGGGGAACTGCCTCGTTGGATGACACCGTTTGAAGGCTCCGAAGCATGCCAAAACATGTTTCTCGGGATTCCAACGCCACGGATCAACCTGGCTGGTGCGTTTCGTCGACGATCCTGAATCGTGCCAGAACGCCATTCTTGGGACTTCTCGCCACGAACGAACGTACCTGTTGCATCCTCATAAGACCCTGGCAAAGTTTAATATCGAATGTGCGCGGCGCTAAGGCGGAAGCCACATTTTGTAAAGGAGCCGCCCTTCATTCGTGAAGCTATTGCAACTGTTTAAAAGCGAATGTGCGCGGCGCTAAGGCGAGCACCACGTTTTGAAAAGGGATTTCCCTCAATCCGCGAAGTTTTTATGTTTTAAACGAATGCACGTGACGCTACAGCGATAGCCACATTCTGAAAACCAGCCGCCATCCATCTGCGCAACTGTTGCCAACTTTGAAGCTTCAGGTCTTAAGTGGTGAGGAAGTCTCAGGTGAAACGCCCGGCCCGCCCTAAAAACTGGCCTCGGGATGATAGGGCTATGGGGGCTATGGGGCTATAGGGCTATGGGGCTATAGGACTATGGGGCTATGGGGCTGTAGGGCTATGGGGCTATAGGGCTATACGGCCATAGGGCTATGGGTCTATAAGGCTATAGGGCTGCAGGGCTATAGGGCCAAAGGGCTATAGGGCTGGAGGGCTAAAGGGTTATGGGCCTATGGGGTTCTGTGGCTATGGGGCCATTCGGGCTATAGGGCCATCGGGCTATGAGTCTATAGGGCTATGGTTTTATAGGGCTATATGACCATAGTGCTATAGGGCTATAGGACGATCGGCATACAGGGCTATAGGGCTATAAGGCTATAGGGGCACAGGGCTATCGGGATATAGTGATATAGGACTATAAGGCAATCGGGTTATTGGGCCATTTGGCGATAGGGCTATTGGGCTATTGGGCGATAGGGCTATAGAGCTATAGGGCTTTAGGGCGATAGGGCTTTAGGACTATGGCTGGAACGCTGTAGGGCTATTGGGCCATTGGGCTATGGGGCTATATGGCTATAAGGCTATGGGGCTATACGGCTATAGGGCTATAAGGCACCCAGGCACACGGGCACCTGGGCACCGGGGCACCCGAACACCTGGGCACCCGAGCACCCCAGCACTTGGGCACCCGGGCACGGGCGCCCGGGCGGGCCGCGGAAATCGGTGGCAAAGCTCACCTGAACATATGAATCCGATAGGACCCCATTCAGAGGCAAGCTCTGATTGGGGAATACGGAAAATGAATGGAAGAGGAGGAGGAGGAGGAGGAGGAGGAGGAGGAGGAGGAGGAGGAGGAGGAGGAGGAGGAGGAGGAGGAGGAGGAGGAGGACGAGGTGGAGGAGGACAGGAATAACATGACGACAAGGAGGAAACGGCCTCCTACGGGCTTTGGAGCCTCCTGGGAGCCTTCTGGGATCCTCTTCGGAGCCTTTGGGTCCCCTTTGGGGCCTATCGGGTGCCGTTTGGAGTCCTCTTGGGCAGTCTCAGGGTGTTTTTGGCCCGTCTGCCTTTTTCGACGGCTGTCTTGGGGGCTTCCCTGGGCCCTCTTGGAACCCTCCTGGAGCCCTCTAGGGCCGTCGGGGGGCCATCTTGGGAGGCTCTTGGGCGATCCTGGGGGGGCCAACTTGTGGGTTCTTTTGGGGCCTCGGGGGCTGTCTTGGAGTCAGGGGCATCTTTGGTCGTATTGGGCGATCGGAAACCCAAACAGGCGAGAACCACAAGGTCCTTTAAATGCAACGCGTTTCGTATCCTCGGGCTTTCCTGGAAGGCCTTCTGACGCCCTCTTGGGCCGTCTTGGGGGCATGCTGAGCCATCTGGAAGCAGTCTTAGAAGCCTTTGGAGCTGAATTGGGCTACCTTGAGTCGTCTTGTCGGCATCTTAGCTGTTTGCGAAGCCGTCTTGGAGGTCATCTGGGCCTTCGTGAGGCCGAAAAGAGTTCCAGAGGGGAGGCGCCCTAGAAATCACGAAAACCACTGCCAGCCAACAGACGAGCGTTCTAAGGTGAAGGGTGAAGGACAACGACGCAGAGCCATGGCGAAGGCATCAGGGGTGGAAGGGAGACGGGGTGAGGAGGGGGAGGGGCTGCGGGGGTGGGCGACCGGGCAACGAAGGGGGGTGCGGAAGGGAGGAGCGACGGGGGAGGGGGGGGGAGAAGGACGAGGGGGCAGAGAGAGGGCGGGAGGACGTTACGGCGAGGAAGAGGATCCGAAGATGCGACATCGGCATAAACAGACTCTTCGGAGAAGCGCCAGTCCAAAGACTTCTGTGAAGCCGCAATGAGCTCCGAATACTTAGGCGTATGTAGTTGTTTCGCACTCTAGGGGCGGGAGGGGAGACGGCGGAGCGTGATGCCATCCACCATGCGAGCCGAGCTCGGGGCAAGCCCAGCCCCCTACCAGGCTGCCCGTCGTCCTGCTGCCTTCTGGTCCCTTTCTCTTGTTTCAGGGGCAACGTTGGGGGGAGATGAGGCCAAGGAGGGATGCATCGAGCCCCAATCGCACTCTCATCGCCGTTAGGGGCCCGCCCACCCCGCCCAGGGCCGTTTGGATTCGCCATCGGGGGCCTATCGCCGATCAATCGGCGATGTATCGCCGATTCCAGGTGGATGATTCTCCCCCTGAGTCTCTTAGCCGTTCACCCTCCTGACGTTCCCCCCTCACTGCTGCTACTTCCCCCCTCCGCTGCACTGGTCATCGAATCTCCTTGGCCCCAGACGCGAGTGCTCGACCATACGACCGCGCCTCGCTCTTCTCGGGCGAGTTCTCTGCAGGCATGGGTTCGGATACCTCAGCAGCTTATGATCTCTACTAGCTCCCGCTGAGTCCTCTACTACGACCAGGTCCCTGGTCCAGCTTGAACGACTCCTCGCGTGAGCCTGAGGCCGCCAGCGCCCAGCAGAACGACGTATTTCGTCTGAGCGGGTTTCCTCTCTGTCTTACTCATCCGTGGCCGTTTCTCCTTCTTTTCTCTTCTGTGCAGGCGCAGTTCGCCGCAGCGAAGCCCGCCGTGGCACCGGCAGTGATGAGCCTCTTGTCGCTGCGGAGCAACAGACTCAGCCGCTGAGCGTTGAGGCTCCAGTCCTGACCTGGCGCTGGCATGAGCCAGGGTGGGGTTTGGAATGGGATGGCCACCAACGTGAGGCCTTCGCTCGAATGAGACTGTTTGTTCCTGTGTCTCTTGACAGCGCTCCGCGCTACAGGCTTGAAGGCGGTGTGTCTATGTACCTGCCGAGCAAGACAACTCGGCAGTTATCTGATTCCTCAGTAAGGCGAAGCACGTCTTACCCTATAAGTGTACGCCGCTCATAATGTTGACGCGCTGGCTGAGTGCCAGCCACACTCCAGATGAGATCAATCTCCAGCCGGCCAAGTTTGCAACTATCCAAGTCATCTGAGGCCACGGGTTCATTCGCTGCGAGGCACTCGTGATTTTCCATCGTTACCGCCGGCTCCCCGACACGGTCCTCGCCCTGCGGCAGATTCGCGCCGCGTCGGCGAGGCGGCGGTCCTTGCGCGGTGGTCCATGTTTGAACGCTGCTGTTGGCCCGCCGGAATCGGTCGACATCGGGGCGACCTGTCCGATCGGGAGGCCGTCATTGTTCAGGGTTGAGAGAACCGCTCGGGCCTGCCTCTCCCGCCCAGCAGGTCCATGCCGATGGGCACCCCAGCGAGGAACAACCTGGCCGCCCAGCTGCACAAGCGATTTGTCACGGAGGTCGCACCGCGGCGCCGCCTGGGGGCCGACGCCCGCGGGGTGTGGCTTCTGCCTCTCGGGCAGTGCCAGGAGAGGTCACCACCCGGTGGGGCCACCCGTTCCTCCTGGAGATGGAGGCTCCAGGGTCGAAGCTCGAGGAGTCTTCAGGACGCCTGGTGATGTGTTTTGGGGGGGTGAGCGCCAGAGCGTGTTGGGGCCCCCACTGCCCTGCGGAGCCCCAGGGCACTCTGGAGCCGACGAGACAGTGGCGACCTCCCTAGTGGTGAACCCCCCTTGGCATTGCCTTGGCCTCTTGGCTTCCCCCCCTTCGCTCCACTCCAGGGTGCCTTCTCCTGATTCCCTCGCTTTCGCACCTTCCCCGCCCAGCCTGCAATGCTGGCACATCTTGGGACATCGCAGTCTGCCCCCCTGTGCCATCGCGGCCCACGGTGCGGGTATCATGCTAGCCGTCGCCCTCGCAGGGGGCGTGTTCGTTTGATCAGCGTCCTTTGTCCTCGACGAGTGGCGAACGGCCCAAGATTTGGATGTATGGAGAATGAGTCTTCACCTGTATTGGAACACGTGTTCGGCCCTGCCCAGAGTTCAGTGGTGTAGGCTGGCTGGTTGGCACACTGACTACTTGCATGTATTGTTGGTTGATGTGTCGGTGAATTCATCGAATCGAGAAGGATGTCGAAGGCAAGGGTGCAGTCAGGAGCGTGTTTGATGAATGAGAAGGGGCCTGGGGATTTCCAAGGGATGGGCGGAGGTTGGACGAGGGATCCTGGCGTGGGGGGACGCAGAGACATACCTTTTACTTCACGGATTACCCTTCTTGTCATAATGAGGTTTGGGGTGGGGTGTGATGGGTGGGTGGGCTAACACCATCGTTGTTATTTGCAGTGGGTGCACACATGAAAACACACTCGTGAGCACACAACGTCATACCAATACCTCCCTGCATGCAATTATCATGCATTCGCATATGTCATTTCGTGTGTGTATGTTCTTGCTGCTCCCATCTCTTGCTTTCCCTCTCTCTCTCTCTTGATATATGTGCCCAGGTATGTATGCTTGAACCTGTTACTTCAGGGGTGTCATCATTGCGTTTAGTGTATCGCTCGGTATGTCTGGCAATAAGTATAGTATGCATCTGTGTAAACTTAACGCGTTGCTGTATATTTGTATACATGTATGTATACACATATATATATATGTATGAATATGTGCTGATGTCCACCCCTCCTGCATCTGTGTGTTCATGAGTACGCCTGCGTGGATGCACATAGAGCTACACTCATTATTGGCTATCTTATAGGGTTGCCAGCGTCGGCCCCAACCTGTGTGCTTTTAGCGACGTGTAGGTTGTGCGATCTATCTGCTGCAAACTATGTTGTGCGACCTTGGTTTTGCAAGCTCTATGTGGTATTATATATGTGGTGCAACCCATGCCGAGTAATACATGTTGTGCGAACAATATTGTGCAACATATGTGGTGCAGCGCAACATATGTAGTACAATCTATGTTGTGCAGCCTATTCGCTTGTGGAGCTCGCGCTTGTCAACTCCACTGCCCTTGGAAAATCCCACCCGCCCACCCGCAACTTGGTTTGCTAATCTCATGCGGCGGCGACTGCGATGAGTGTTCGGCGTTGGCTGGTGCTTCTCTGCGTCCGCGCTAGCCCGCGCATGCACTCGCACAGCAGCGAGCTAGTTTGGCGCGGCCGACGCGGCCGCGGTGGCGCTGACCGCTGGGCACCCCCCAGCGGGCAGTTCAGGGCGAGTATGTGACTTGGGCGGGCGCGGTATGATGGCGACGCCGGCAACGGTAGACACGATTGTGAGAGTAGCGAAGAGGGTGACGATGGTGGCGCTGACGACGGCAAGGCCAATGACGGCGCCGATGTCGATCACGCCCGCCGATAACGATATCGATGTCTTCGCGTCGGCGATTGAGGTTTTTGAAGGATCTCGACATGCGCGCGCGGCCGTCGCGCGAAAGTGACCCGCGTGGTCTTATTTTGCGCGGATCGTGCCCCTCCTCTTCCCAGCACGTGCGCGAGGGTGTTCGAATGAGTTCGACATGGGGCGGAAGGGGTCCGCTCGGCAGAATTTGATGGACATGTTCAAACGCGATGGCTTGCGGAAGAATTCTCAACATCGTGAGCGCACATTTTATTACGAGTTGAAACATACAATTGATGTTGCAACGCCATGTTGTTTAATCTGTGTTCGGGCTTGTTCTGAACACGTTGCGAAACCTACGGCTTTTGAAGGCATTCGGCATGCGCGCGCGACGACGCTCGCGTGCGCACGTCGTCCCTTTCTTCTCCCAGAGGGGAGTCTCACGACAGCACGCGCGAAAAAGGGCGTTCGAACGTTTTGGACATGCGCACGCGATGGGGCTGTTTCACAACATGCTTCAGGGCGTTGGAACACATATGGTATCTCAAATTCGCGTCCGCGCGGTTTTTTCTTTTGATGTAGGCTTCTCCCCGCGAAATCATTAGTTTTTTGAATGTTTTCAGGCCGCTCGGTTTTGAAAGCTTCGCGAACTCAGAGTTTTGAAACAATTTACATGCGCGCGCGACGACGCTCGCGTGTGCACGTCGTTTCACATGTTGCAAAGGGGTTCTTGCGCCAGCACGCGCGCAACGGCCTTCGACCGATCCCGACGCGCGCGCGGCAGGCCCGCGTAGTGGCATTGTATGCACATGTTGCACGGATATGGCGTTGTTAGAAATGTGCATCCACGCGGGCGCAGTTTTTTGTTTGAGAATTGTTGCTGCTAAGCCATGTGTTTTGTATGTTTTCGGGGCAGTCGATTTTGACATTTCTGCCACACCCTGGGTTGTTGAACGATGTTTGGCATGCGCCCGCGACTACGCGCGCGTGCGCATGTCATCCGGTTTGTCTTGCGAACAGGGGTTCCTGGCAACTGATCATTTTTGACAAACGAGTGCGTGCGCACAGGATTTTTTGCATGAGGGTGGGTGGGGCGGGCGAATTCTGGTTGAGCTGGGATGGTACGACTTCGAATTTGGGACACACGATGGGGATGTTTGGTATGTAATTTGCAAAACGGACAAAATGTTATGTTTACCGGGGTGGTAGATCTTAACATGGGTAGATCTTAACATTTCTTTAACACAGTCCAACGGCGGCGACGGGCGGCCACGAGGCGGCGACGAAGCGGCGACGGGGCGGCGACGGCCACCACGGAACCGCCAGGCGGACACACAGACTCAGGCGACTGGCGGCGACGAGGCGGCGAAGGGGCGGCGACGGTTGGCACAGCCGCCATACCGACACCGACACATAGGCGCATTTTTTATACCATACGTAATCACCCCTAAGTGAAAGCTCTGCATGGGAAGTATATGGGATCTGCCTTCTTTTGCTTCCGTACATGTGCGTATCCATCGATTGGTGTATGTATACATATATGTATATATCCTTACATGGCCGAATGGCCGAAAGGCCTTCGGCTGATGCCGTCAGCGCGCCTGGGTTGTAGGTCAGATGCCTCCTGGATACCTGTGGGATTTCTTTGGGAGACCATCCTGCCATCGCCCATCCCTCATCACCCTGCCCTCCGCTCGCTTCCAGCCCCTGTGCCGCTGGTCCCGCGCCCTTCGCCTCTCGCCCTCGACCGATCCGATTCGACATCGGCTCTGGCCGCCCCGATCCGATTCGATTCCGATTTTTCGACGATCCGATGTGGCCAGATGCTTGCAATACGCCGTGGCGCGGCCAATCCCTGTGCCGATGCAGCCCGACCCGGCGCGAGATCCGATGATTGTTGATCCTGCCCTCGTCGGGTGGGCCAGGGATCAATCGCCCCAGGGCGATCCAGAACGCTCTCAGCGCGGTCCAGAACGCCCTGGAACGGCCTCGGCGCCCGTTGCATCCTGACCCGCCAGATCTCAGAGATTCCCGATCTGTCCTGGTCCGATTCTGTCCCTGCCCTGGCCCCGTCTGCCTCGCCACTCTCTCTGGGGGGGAGCGGCTCGGGAGGTCTCGGGCACTCACGTCGGCTGAGCTCCACGGGGACGTCGCGGCGTGCCGAGCTCCGCGGCGCCGGGCGTGTGGAGCGCCTGGCGGGCGCAGCGCGTCCTGCCTCTCCCGTGGGAAAAAGCGGAGCCCCAGGACTCGAGCAGGAGCACGACTGCAGGATCGATGTTCCCCCGGGTTGTTGTTTGTGTCGATTTGTTTAGGAGCGCTGTTTACAAGGTTCGTCGATCGGCGAACATGGTGCGTCTTTGTGATAGGGCCAACGGAAAGAGCAACTGTAGGGCAAGCCCATTCTGTAGTCGATCCCCTACACGGAGGACGGAGGAGTCGGGGGCGTCCAAGAGTCGGGAGGCGTCCAGAACTGGGTACGGGAAGAGTTTGTACAAAGGCCGACACCATTTCTCACCACCCACCAAACCACCCCAACCCAACCCGAAGGCTCAGATTTGCCCTCGATTTCTAGTGGGGGGGGTCGGGAAACATCGAAAACACACGCGTGGAACCCTTACCCCCCCAACCCGAAATTCGGGTCTTCGGGTTGGGTTGGGGTGGTCTGGTAGCTAGTCAATTTCTCGTCTTCATTTCGAGCAGAACTCGCTGTCGGTGTCGACGCGGATGTAGTCCATGTGGGGCAGAAGGCCGTCTGCCCATCAGCGGCCATTGCGGGTATTGGACAACATTTGTTCCAGAGGCAACCGTAGGGGGGAATAGGCATAGGGGAGAGGCATCGATCTCGAATGCTTGATACATCGACGATACGTCGACGACACATGATTGATATCATGGCACGCTGCCCTCGCCCAAGCGCCAACAATCTGCATGGATGAAGTCTCGTCGATGCATAATCGACTATCAACCATTCAGGGTCGATGTATCCCCAATGTATTCCCCCCCCCGATGGTTGCTCCTGATTGTTGTTGGGCATCGTAGCCATTGTCCCCACATTCTAAGTGGGGTTTTTGTTTCCTCTGGGCACCCCTCGCAGTCCTCACACACCCTCATTTCATCCCTTTCTCTTTTCACACTCACCATGATCACCATCAGCATCATCATCACTAGCATCATCACACTACCATCATCATCACTAGCATCATCATCATCATCATCATCATCAGCAGCAGCAGCAGCAGCAGCAGCAGCAGCAGCATCATCATAGTCTTCTTCTTCATCAGCATCATTAATATCACCATCCTACCATGATCAGATCACCATCACCATCCTGATCATCTTCATTGCTGCTCTGGTCCAGTGTCCAGGCTCGTGACAGCGAACTTCGGAACGTCAGTGCTGTTGCGGGACATTGGCTTGCGGCATCGCCTTTGCACATCAAAGGTCGAGGGAACTGATCCCTCACCGCGCGCTCGGGTGGATGGCCGCTTTCAGGAGCACCCCTGGCGCACTGGACGTCCGTGCACGCGTATCTGTAGTTACGTGGAAGTGCAGCTCGTGCGGATGTGGAAGAAACAAGACGGCAACGCCACGGTGCAAGCATTGCGGCGCTCTGTGGGCTTTCCATTGTTTCGGACCGCTCCTGCTCCCGGTGGTGGTTCGGCTTGTCTTTTTTTCAGGTGGCTGTTCTCTCGCCCTCGCCCCTGGCCCCCAACCACCTGTCCATCGCGGAGGCCAAGCTGGTGGAGGCAAAGGGTCTGGCGGCGGTGGGAAGAATGCCCGTGTCAAGGGCAAAGGGGGAGCGGCTACAGTGGCAACGGTGTTTTCCAACGTCCCCCAGGGGAGTCCTTCATTATTGCGATGTACAAGGGGCCCGAGCAGCTGGACTTGGTGCAGTCCGAGCTGTCCACCCACGTCAAGTGCGTGCAGGCGGAGGATCGTGCCAAGACCGAAACCCGTCGGCCGCCGGTTGCTTTGGCTGACCTTGGAGTGCATGGTGGTCTGTTTCGATCTGGGCATGGGTGACATGTTGGACGCGGGCCCCGAAGACGGCACTGAGGCACTGAGGAGTCGGATCTCTCGGAAGCCACCAAGAGGAAAGAGTTGCTCATGGGCGACATCCACGACGCGGCTAAGAACATCTTCGCCAAAATTGTGGACCCGCCAAGGCAAGCACATATCGAACACCAAGCCCTGCGGACACGGCCGGCTGCCAAAAAGAGGTGAGTTCGAGCAACACGTGTCGCAGCCGAAGGAATAGATGGTGGAGGTGGAGGTCCTGCGGCCGAAGGTTCGGCATCTCCCTCATCGGACAATGCGGCGGTGGATTCTCCTGGCGGCGCGGCCGCGCAGGCAGAGTTCGACGGCGCGGCCCCCGAGTACTCGCTGGAGAAGGTGCGCGCTCGCGCGCGCGGCTTGGCTTCTGCTCGTACTATCAATGAAGGCCCCCCTCGCACTGTGGAGTGAGGAGGGGGGGCATCTGCCGCGCAATTTCTAGTCGCTCCGCACTCCGCTCCAAGCTGGCAGCGCGGCCGCCCCCCGCCCTTCCAGAGCTGGCGCTCCAAACCACCCCGGCGGCCCCGCGCGCCCTCTCCCGTTTGATCGTGGAGACTATCAATGGTGGCGCGTTCGCCAGCAAGAGATCGGCTGCCCTGGCGTTCCTCCCGTGCGCTCCTGATCCAGGAACATGAGGTGCAAACGGGCGACCCTGTGGACGTTGTCTCTGCTTGGCGCCTCAGACAGGGCCGGAAGTCGCGCGTGGTTCTTGGGGCTCTTTCTGAAGGCGGCGGCCCGTCGAGTGACCGCGCTTCTGGCCCGTCCCTGGTTGATATGGCATCCCCCGGGGCCCTAAGTTCGGCCCCGCCATGCTGTCGCTGGTGTTGTGCGCCCTCCGAGGGGGCCGAGCTAATTTCCCACTTGTTTCTACGTCGGAGCTTCGGGGGGAGTGAGCGAAACGACCCTCGACATTCTGAAAGCGCCCATGGAGCCTGGCTGTCGGCGCGCGGCAGGCATTTCCAGGTTCATGAAGACTTCAAGATGGAGCCGTCGACCTGGCGCGAGAGCGAGTTAACCCGCGACCTGAGAGGCCAGCCGGCGGCGGAGGGTTTCGCGGGCTTCGGTTCTGGCGAACCCGAGATGCTCGACGACTTCGCCCTCTCGGGCGGCCTCGCGCAGGCCGTTCGCTTACTTGGGATCAATCAGTCGGGCTCGGCCCTTTCGCCCCCCGTGCCCGCGAGGGTCCAAGTGCGCGCGGGAATTGTCGACCTTGCGCTTTGCCTTTCCGCGGGGCCGCCCCCCCCCGTCGCCGCGGATGCCCCGATCGGCCCCCGCCGCCTGGGCCCCCGCGCGCCAGCGAGGTCTCGGCGCCTTTGGATAAGACGCCCGGTTAGGGCCCAACAGGGGGGCGCGGACGTCCTCGGCTCTCTCCTAGGCGCCTCCTGCACGCGGTGGGCCGACGCGGCTGAGAAGGAGCTGCGTAATGCCATCGGTTCTACCCTTTATGGGGCTCGCGGTGAGGATGCGGTCGCGCGGCGGCGCCCCGTTGCGGGGCGGGGCCGCGGGGCGGTCCGCTACCCCGAGCTTCGTGGTGCGAGGTGGCCCTGGGCTACGTTTCAATTATTTATATGCTCTTGCTTTCCAGAGGTGGTTCCCCGACGGTCGCGGGGGGCAGGCCCGGCGGGGCCTCGGCCGTCTCGGCGGAGGCCGATAGGGAGCTGCCCCATAAGGTTTGCCGCGGAACTGGATATTAGCGAGCTCGGCTGGATATTGTCGGCCCTGGACCCTCGGGCGGCGCGTGGGCCTCCAGGAGGCTCGCGCGCCGCCTGAAAATCCAGGGCCCCCATCGTGGCTCTGATTCCGACAGCTGACCCTGGTTTCTGCCCCTTCGGGCTTTCGCCGGCCCGTTCAGGATCTGGGCTCGCGTCCGTCGGCCCTGCGCTTCGGTCTGGGAGGCGGCCGAAGACGGGCCCGACCGGGCTGCGGGGGAGAACCGCGCGGCGACCGACGTCATCTGGAGGCAGGCATTTTTCCTCGGAGATGAGTTCATCGCTGGGCCTGCAGGCGCGGGCGTGTTCAAACCCAAAGAAGATTTTGGACCGCGTTGGGGAAGTTGTCGGGGCCCCCCTCGGGGCCCGCCGCGAAACCGCGCCCGCCCCCGTTGGCGCCGCGCTCCCAGGGCGAAAAGGCCTGCCAGGGGTAGAAATGCGAAGGCGAAGGAACGGACGCCCGCTGCTTCGAGGCGCGCTAGGCGCCCATCCGCCAGCGTGGAAAGTTGGAGCCTCGGGCCGCTCAGGTTCTTATCGCAGGCCCCCTCGCGGGCGCCCAGTGCGGCTCAGAGGTGCGCGACGCGTTTGGCGGCGAGGTGCCGCAGATTCGTAGACTGGCGCCCGCCGCCATGGGACGTCCAGCGGGCGGGGAATCGCTTGCCCTGTTCGCCATGATGCAGAAATACCCCGCCTGGTACGCATCCGCGATCAGACATCGCATGAACCTACGGCTGTTGCAGACTAGGGCCCCTTTGTATGTGAGCCTGGGGGGCGCGGGATTTCCGTGGGCGGCCGCGTGGTGCAACCCTCCGAGATTTTGGATCGCGCAAGGAGGGCCGATCGGGGCCATGTGTCTCTCGCTTAGGAGGCTGGATTGGGTTTTGACCGACCCTTGCGCGATGCTGGAAGACCGTGGGGCGAGCTTGCTTCTTCTCCCCTCGTTTTTTTGTTTTGTTCTCTCTCTCTCTCTCCCTCTCTTTCTGTTCTGTATATATATATATATATATATATATATATATATATATATTCCTCTCCCTATATTTGTATAAGCCCGGGCGGGGGGAAAACCCATCACCCCCCCGAAACAAAAAAAACGGAGTCCCGGGATCTGGGGCTTTGGGACCCTCCAGACGGGCCTCGAAGCGGCCCCTCGGCCTCACATGGCGCTTTGCCAAGCCTTCCCAGAACACCTCGGGCGATCAGGGGGGTCATCGGAGACGTCCCAGAGACCCCTTAGACAGCACAAGCGCGCTCCAAGAGTGACCGACGTGACCTCAAGATGGCCCAAGAGGCCTCCAGGACGGCCCCAAAGAGGCCTCCAAAAGCACTCCCAAAAAGGCCCCCCGAGGCAAAAATCACGGATTTTCGTTTGGT